CTTGTGGAACTCCATGACTAACTTGCATGTGCATGGAGGGGTCATTGTTAACGTTAACAAATTGAAATCTATCTGATAAATATGATTTAAACCAGTCTAGTGCCGTTCCTTTAATTCCTACATGTTGTTCCAGTCTCTGTAGCAGAATCTTATGATCTGTGGTGTCAAATGCTGCATTAAGATCCAACAGGACGAGTACAGAGACAATTTCATCATCTGATGCTATGAAAAGGTCATTAGTAACTTTTAATAGTGCTGTTTCTGTGCTGTGATGGATTCTAAATCCCGACTAAGTAATCACACAGCTGGTTAGCAACAGCTTTTTCGAAGATTTTGGAAATGGAGGGCAGGTTTGATATGGGTCTACAATTAGCTAAAACATCTGAATCAAGAGTAGGCTTTTTAAGCAGAGGTTTAATAAGAGCTACCATAAAAGCCTGCGGCATGTAGCCGGTAAACAAAAACATATGAATCAGATTTGATATAGAGATGTCGGTATAGTAGACAAGTTGTAGGTTTAGAGGAAGAGACTGGTGAAATCAGCTCTGAAGGATCTACTGAAAAAAAATTATCTAAATATAAATCTGGTGCTATGGTTGGTTTAACCGTTTCTGTACTGGACAATGTATCTATTTGCAAATATAATTTAGCCCATTATTCTTCTGTTCTACAGTATGATAAAACACAACAGTATGTCTTTTAATTTGCGTATAATTCCACAGTTTGTCCTGTGTGTTGTGCACTCAGAGGAAATACATGTGACTTACTACTACTAATACTGTTGTGTCATGGTTGCAGGGACGGCATGATGCTCTTTGACCTTATTAATATTGTTGCATATGCTTGTGCTGCCTGTCACACTCTCTGCGCTTTTGACAGACAGCTCACAGGTGCTTGGCTTAGCCAGGCTATATTTACAAAGGTCATAGATGATACTGTGGGGTATGATACCAGCAGGGATCTAATTACTCCCCCAGTGGTAAATCTCAAGAGCATGTTCACCTATACCCAGAATTTCTCTCAGTTGTTTATACAACTACACACACACAAAGATGTGACCAGCCCATAAACCTGCGGCCCCACACAGTCTGATCCCAGCACTCACTTTCCCAGTAACCATTCGTTGCTAAGTTATGTTTAGTTGTGCCCGTCTTGTCCCTGGTGTTTCTCTGAATGGACTGAACTTCCCCTGACAGTGTCCCTCCATCCTTTCTGTCTTCCAGCAGTTTTCATTGGAGGCCCACTGGGAGGCAGCTGCATTTGGGTGGGTAAAAATAAAGAAAGAATGAAGGAAGAGCAGAGGGGAGTCCACATCTGGGAATAGCAGTTTTTTATAGTTGATGTTTTTCCAAAGCTCCATCGTGGTGTGGGGATGTTATCTAAGAAACTATTCTGGGAATTGCATTTCCTGTTCCCTATTAGTGACGGCTCTTGATATAGAAATAAATGGTGTGTGTGTCACATTTATTAGGGGGCTGGAGGTTTGTCATAGAGGTAACTAAAAGATGAAGTCATTTGAAAACAGTCTACTTCCTGCCTCTAGGCCCACCAGTTGGTGTGCATCCTGTTATGGAGTTCAGGGCACTGCAATGTCCATAGAGTGAAGGTCAATATTGACAGGTGTCCTCTTTGCAGAGCTGTTTTTTTTTAAACTAAATGACACATTTTTACTGTCTTGAAAGATGACAAAAATAGTTTTGTTTCTGTCATTGTCATATTATTGTATTATTGTCAAATTGTAATTAATGCATTCTTAAAAAGTGGTTTGAACTTTCCTAATTTGAGCTTGCAGCTTTTCGCCTTTCAGTCTGGTTTATATAAAAATGGGATACAACCACTATAAAACTAAACTGTAGTAACTTTTGGTTTGTTTCTTCCTGTGGTTTAATGTAATATGGAGTCCCACAAGGCTCAACATTTGGCCCGGTGGTATTTCATTTGTATGTGCTATGGCTTGACAATGTTATACATCTTTGATTTGAAATAGGTGATGTCAACAGGTGATTGTATTCATGATTTACTACAAAAGCAGAAACCAGGAAAGGCCTAGTCCTTTAGGAGCAAAGATGGGCCGAGGATTATCAAAATGTTTAAAAACAGTGTTCCTAAAATAAAGATAGGATATGATATTTTATCCTCTACATGGTCGAAGCATTATTAAAAGATTCAAGGAATCTGGAGGAAATCCAATGCGTAAAAGTCAAGGGCTCCAGCCTAAGCTGACTAACCGTGCTCTCTGATCCCTCAGAGTTACATCCACAAATCCAAATTAAAACTCTACTGTGCCAAAAGAAAGCTTTATGTTCACTGTGTCAGAAGCACCGACGACGTCTCTGGACTCGAAGGCATCTGGACCATACCACAGTGGAAACCTGTATTGTGGTCAGATGAGTCAGTATTTCAGGTCAGTTTGAAAGAAATGGACGCATGGTGTCTGTCATGTATGGGGTTGTGTCAGTGTCCTTTGCAAAGGTAACTCACACTTCTCTGATGGCAGCATTAATGCCGAACAGTACATAGAGATTTTGGAGCAGCTTCTGCTGCCTTCAAGACGACTTCTTTTCAGACATCTATGCATATTTCAACAAAACCACATTCTGCACACATTACAAAGGCATGACTGCTGAAGAAGAGGGTGGGGGTGCTGGTCAGGTCTACGTGCAGTCCTGACTTGACCACAATGGAGAATGTGTGGCGTGGAGTTGCACACCATGAGACTTGTTTGCAGGAAGAATGGGACAAAATGACAACTGAATCACTTCACCACATGGTGTCTTGAGTCCCTACACATCTTTTAACTGTTGTGAAAAGGAATGGCAACATTAAAAAGTGGTATATGCTTTACTGTCCCAACTTTTTTTTGAAAGATGTTGCAAGAATCAAAAGTGAAATCAGTGTTTATTTTGAAAAAAAAAGTCATGAGTCGAATATGATTTATAAATCTCTGTTCTCAGTTTTAATTTGAAATGTAACATGCTATCCCAACTTTTTCAGAGTTAAGTTTTTATCAACTTAACTTTTTCCAGTTATTTTAGTTGCCTGATTATTAGCCTACTAGATAGATGGGAGAGAATCCTCCTTTTACCGTACTCGTTTGTTTTGTGTGGGCATTCTGTTGTGACAGTGTTACTTAACGCATGTCTTACTATGTTGTACTCACAAATGATTATACTTATTTTAATGATCTTCACAGCCCTACATGATTTGTAACTTTATACATTTCCCATCCTTCATATTGTTTTCACCAAATAAGTTTCACATTCCCTAGATCACATTTTCAAGTTTAATATATATTTATGTGCATATCTGAAGCACTGCAGACACTACATAAAAAATTGTCTTACGTGACAGCAGAGCTGGAAACATAATTGTGTAATTGTATTTCTGTGTTGAGTTTATCATTATTAATACATCTATTGTTTGCCAACAAGGAGTGTCATGTAGCTCAACATTCATGCAGTGTAGCTGTATCTCACACTGCAGCTGTGGAGAAGAATGTTTATTCTACTCTCTGACTATGTCAGCGTGCAGTGAGAAAAGCAGTGGACCATGACAGCTTCCTAATGCAACAAAGTCTTATTTATGAGGATTATGATAACTGAGACTAATGTAAACACTCCTCCCTGTAATGTATTGAATGTTTGGAACCAGATAAGAACACATTCAGAGACTGACCCAGTTGTCGAGACGGCTAGTAAGAAAACTGTGCTCCACAGTCAAGAGATGAAATTTAAAGATCAAGATTAAAAAACAATTCATTGTCAACCCTGTGCTTCCCAGAGTCACAAGAAAAACACCCGCCTTCCTTACAGACAGACAGACAGACAGATGAAATGAAAATATAAATTGTTGATATGAAATCTTTAAATGAATGCTTATCATCCAGAGTGTAAACATGGTCCCCCCCTTTGTGTGTGTGTGTGTGTGTGTGTGTCTGTGTTAGGATGCAACATTATATTACCAGCTGCTCTGTGTCTCAGATTATTTATAGACTCAGAGCTAAACTGGAAAAGTCGCTCCAGCTGACAGGGACTCATGACAGGGAAAACTTCCCCCGACAGTTCTGTTCTGTGCTCAGTCCATGATAATAACCTTCAACATGAGCTTCATGGGAACACAGTAATCACTGTTTGGCTTAAGTGCATTTGTGCCTACATCTGTCATGTCACAGCCTTCATTGAGTTAGATGAGTCATCTGCAGCAGTCTGATTTAGGCAAGGATGAAATGGCATTTCACTGTGTCTAGCTTCACTCTCAGGAAGCAAAAACCCAAATTATATAAACTTAGTAGAAAACATAAATACTGTTTCAGTCAGGAATGACTGTTTTCTTAAAATTAAGCCTTAGAAGATGAAACAAACAATCCCTGCAGGTATCGAGACATTCAATAATGTGAATTTAAATAACAGTTGGAAAAATTGAGGCATTCCAAAATGTTATCAACATCACATATCTACAGTATTTCTCTATTATTGTTTATATCAAATGCTGTACAGCATATTGCCACCAAACTATTTGGGCTACATCAAGCCAGCTATAACAAACCTCGGTGAAACAGGAAGTATTGACCTTCAATTTAGAAAATAAATGTCAAGTATTTCCTCATTTAGTTGACCAAATTTTACAAAAACTTTAATAATCAATTTTTGACTCACCCGTTCAGTATACACGATTTTTGTAACTTTAGAAAAAAGGGGGATTTTTGATCAAATTGGATTAAATAAGTACTAATAATCTTCAATTCACAACTTTGATTTTAATTGTTTTTTGTTTTAGGCAACAATATTAAGTCTTTCAGTTTGTGGAGAGAGCTCTGGGTTTCATTTTGTCCCTAAATAAAATCGCTTCGCTCGCTTTGTGCTGATCGCTGCCCTCAGCGAGGGGTTTTATTCTGAAAGTCCTCGGTGTCGCCGTCGTGTGTTCCGGTGAGCTTGACAGCCGCGGCTCTGCCCCGGAGGTGTGTGTGTGTGTGTGTGTTGTGTAACCGGACCGTGGAGCGGAGTCGGACCCCCCGGCGAGGAGAGGAGCTGTCAGAGAAGCAGGTGGACCGTCTCTCCCATCCACTTCCTCTGGCGGACGGAGAAGGACACGCGTTCACGTCGATGCTAGAATGAGCCCACAAGTGTGACCATGACGTCTGTGTGGAAGCGGCTCCAGCGGGTCGGCAAGAGAGCCTCCAAGTTCCAGTTCGCCGCTTCGTTCCAGGAGCTGGTGATAGAATGCACTAATAAATGGTAGGACACTGTCTCTCCACGTCCGCTGACTTCCTGGACACGCGCTGTGTGTGTTAAATGGATTTAGAGCCGTGTCGTCTTCTTGCCGTGACACCGAACTCCACGCAGAAATAGTCACATTGAATCATTTCTGCGGAATGGTGTGCGCAATACGAAACAAAATGGCCTTTGAGGGATGATTTGGACGTGAAATGTGTTGTTATCCCGTTATTACATAGATATACAGGCACAGAGGCGGCGGAGGGTGAAGTGTGGAGGTGTCCGTGAAAGTTGCCTCGTGACAGATATTTACGATCATGTCTGGATCTTTCTCATAAAGTCTGCATCTTCATCAGTAGATCGGATCAAAGGAGAGAACGGCATCTTTCTCTTTAATCGGGAGCACGCCCCCATTACTTCCGCGTCTGTTGATTTTATATGGACTCGTTGCCACGATGTGATATATGGCTCCTTGCGCACCGGGAGTCATGTTACCAAGATGTGTTGGTATGAATGATAACCTCTGGGAGGATGTGGTCATCACCATCAGCACCACCAGGGCCGCAGCCAGGATTTCAGATCAATGTGGCAGTCAAGTCCCCCCCCCCCAATAAGAAGGGATCCCCAGTGCCCAGGGGGGATGTGGAGTAGCTACCCATTTTACTCAGCTATCACATTATCACCCACTGGTTTCTAAGTGTTATTCACTTGTGCTGAAAGAATTAGTTGGTTAGTCTATCAACAGGAAAACAATTTTGACAGTTGGGTATTAGTTAGTAGTTTGTCAAGAGAGAAAATTGGCTTTTGGGGCTTGGTTACTATCATTTTTTTCAACAAGGTCAATAATGAATGAATTGAAAAAGTAATTGGCAATGACAACCAATCTGTTGTAACATAGTACAGCATTAAACTTGATCTAAGTTCCTTTTCTAGTTTCAGACTGACGCAGTTATTATTTCCCTGGCCAGCCCCCATGGTGTTTAAATAGCAAATGCACTTGCCTCGCCCGTTAGATGTGGGGCCTCAGGACACACCTACCATGAGATTACAGAAGAGCTAACCCTTTAAATGTGAATGTTTGGTAACTGACTGATGTGAATGAGCGTCTAACTTTCTTTATGAGTGATCCTTTTACCGGTAAATACAGCTGAAATCACAGCACAGCTGTCATCAGGGTTTCATCAGCGCAGCCACACCTCAGCCACTGTTTCATACGTAGACAGAAAAACATGTCTACAAGAACGGCTTCACTGTGCATTTGTCTTTCTTAAAGTATTGTATATTTGAGCACAATGTAGCAAACAGAAAAGTGGCTGAAACCAGCTGAAGAGATGATGTCATAAATATGCTAAGTAAACTATTGCATCATCGAGCTACATAACTTTTCCAGCAGGGTGTAGATACTTTCCAGTAAACGTGTTCAATTTCGACCCCACACGGTCCAGACATATACCTGGTCGTTAAACCAAAGTCTGGATACAACCAAGAGTAGGAGGAAGATGATGGGAGTCTCTTCTTAGATCAAATATTTTGTCATTATTTAAATAAGAGAAGACTAATTATTTATCTTCACAGTGAAAAGTTTGAATATGGTTTATACTTTTGAGGTCACTAAAATCTTTGCATTTTATTCATCACTGTCTGGTGATGGGTCAGAAAGGCAGGCCTAGATGGATACAGCAAGGAACAGGCTTTCTTTCATGTTGTTTTCGATGTACTCTCAAATACCCTCAAGCAAAGAGCTTCAGTGTGATGGTGTCAACAAAAGAAACTGAAAAAATGGCCATTGACCAGCAGAGAAAGCTGTGCACATAGTGTAAGTCAACAATGAATCAATCCAATTTTATTTGTGTATCTCATATTCGGAAATCACAATTTGTCTCATCGGATCATAATGGAAAGGTGTGTCAACGTTTAAAGTATTTATCCATAATCGGATAGAGATGAATGGATGGGTGAGTAATTGTCAGTAATGGTGGAGTATGTGAGTAGGCATATTGTATATCAATCAGCGGCCATCATGATCAATGATCCAATCAACAAGAAACCAACTTTGAATACATGAATGTTTTCATATCAGATCACATTTTGGATGTTGCCAAAAGAATATGAAGGTTCTATGTTGAGCCCTTATTTGAAGTATTCTTTCATAGGCAGGAGAAAAAGGAAATTTGCATCACTTTTTTATTTTCTGCATGCATATAGGAAGGTACTGGTGCATTTCACGATGTGATCTCTTGTACTGTGTTGGCGTGGTTAGTGTTTTAGCTGTCCGTCTGACATCTTCAGTCTTGGCACTGCAGGAGTTCCTTTAATTCCATTATCATTACGCAAGGAACATTCACCATGTGTTTCCAATCTTCCAGCCCTGGCTTGTTTAGTGACCCACCTTCCTGTCACTCTGTTTATGCACTTTTCATGACGTATTATACGCAGTGACCAGTTTCAACATGTTTTTGTTCCTGTTACTTTTATAATGTGTAGTTAACCACTCTTGTATTGATCCTACATACAGTATGTTCCCCCTTAGGTGCAAAAAGTATTAGACTATAAAATGTATATGCAAGAATGAAATGAGAGTGGACTGTCAATGTAAGATAGACAGCACAATATAATTTGTTGCTTAAGGTTGTTTTGACATTTGGGTGTGGAGGGATCTTTGAGTTGTGAATCCCTTACGCGTTCGTGTACCAACGTGTGTATAGTTACAGCTGCTGCTGTTTCTTTGCCCGGAGAAGATGGTCAACATTCCATCAAGCCAGACCTGCATCCACTGTTGGCACTGTGCTTAGTTAAATGCCCACTCAGTCCTCTTTTGTTACTTGGAAGACTACAGGAGGATGGTGGACTGGCCCCAGGCCCCTGCTCTCTGTTTTTGCTGCAGCCTAAGGATCTGGTTGTTAGCCCAGTATCAGTATATATATAATTATTTTGGGCCAATACCCAGAGCTCTAGCTTCACCACAATGATCAACACCTTGCGTGATGGCGCACCAAACCTTTTTCCGTTCTCCCCTCATATAAACTCTAGATTTCTGAAAATCTTTCACGTAATACTGATTTTATTGAAACATTTTACATAGAAAGTCACAATATAGACTACTATCTCAGAAGAATTTGTACATAAATACAGCTACATTTTGATTTACTATCCTGTAATTATGACTCAGTAAGTATTACTTTCTCTTAATGGGTTGGTGGCTGTGGCTCAAAAGGTAGAGCAGAATGTCGTTGGTTCCACAGATCCTCCAGTCTGCATTCCGTGACTTTGGGCAAGATACTGAATCCCAAATTGCCCACGATGGCTTTATCAGCATGTGTGATAGAACAAGTGCAGCACATAGTAGCGCTGTATGAATGTGTGAATGGGTGAATGTGGCTCGCACTGGAAAGCGCATATATATATATATATATATATATATATATAGTCTATTTTCCCTTGTGAATATTAGAGGATTTAGGTCTAAATTAGAAAAGTATTGAAAGTGGGTATGTCAGAAATCAGATGGGTTTAAACAACATCCAAACAGCCACACTCAGAGCTGGAGGGAGAAGCCAGCCATCATAGCAAGAAGGGAGAATATACAATAATTAAAAAATGAGGATAATGACACATCAGATTCACTCTTCAGGGAGGCATTCCCAGTGTTTATATAGTGTTGTACACTACACTAAACAGAGCCGTTTAAACTCAGTGACTTCCTGCAGTCTTGTTGTGAGGTTGTTGTAAAGTCCTAAAAACAAGCATGGACTTGTTGGGATTTGAAACGTCTCAGGAATATACATTTGTTGGTGACCTACATGTGACATCACAAACAATGCACTTGTGTTTACGACAGGCTATGACAAGAATGTGTAAAATGTGGATCAGCTAGATGGACGCTCTTTCGCTGATTAGCAAAAACCACCTACATTCAGAGTACGGTGGAGTATCAAACAGCTTGTACAAAAAATTCGCTCACATCATATAACCCTGCCTTATGTGCTAATACTAAAACAACTCTTACTTCAAATTGATGAAAACAAACACATATTTATACAGTTACAGTTATTTACAAGCCCTGAGTCTGATGTGAGTATGTTCAGTATATGACATTTATTCTGTCTTCAGAGGCTCTACTCTACAAACCACTAACCTACAGACTACGTGAGCAAAAAACACTTTGGACATTAGTAGGTCAGCCTGTTGCAACATGTCTATGATAAATAGTGCAGCAGGTGTAGGATTGCTATTAAGTACCGGTTGAGATCAGCATCGCAGGCGTCTATTTCTGTTCACTGTCTCACTCTCACTCATCTGTCGCTCACAAACTTTCTCACCAGTTCCAGAAGAACGAGGCCTACAGGCACACTGTTGTCATGACAGTTGGACCTGTAGGACAATGCTGACAATACTGACTCAGACTGTTTTGTATTGAAGCAGCTGGTATTTGATGATTTGCATCAATGTCCAATTTTTACTATGTCATATTTATTCATCCATCCATTAATTATGTTTATTTATGGCTTTTTGATAAAGGATAATTCTGATTAATTACAATTGACTCCTACCACCAGGTTATGCTGCTGCTGCTGCTGAGTAAGAAATATGTATTGAGTTATTTCATGTTAAAACAGCTCATAGTCTCTATTGGCATTGCACTGGGATGGCTCCCATTGTAGTCTGTTTAATGTCTGTTCCAGATCATTTGGACATAAACATTCAAACATACACCTCTCCCCGGGTTATAGCTAGAGAATTTCAAAATTGCAGTGCATATCCAAAAGTATTGCCACATGTCTCCATCTACCATTATGCCACTCACTCAACACATTAGATGCAGAGAGGTGATCCTCATGCTCGCAGGTAGGGCTCGGCGATTTATTCAATTCCAATTGCAACGACGTGATGGTGGGATGGTAGATTGTGATCATGGACCATAAATCATGACAGTGGATCGTGAATCAGAGATCGGGATATTGGATCGTTGTGGCAGCTGATCGTGGATCATAATTGTGGATCGTGACGGTTGATCCTTATTGTGGATAGTGGTTATGGATCGTGATCGTGGTGGTTGCTGATCATGGACTATGATTACAGCAAGATTGATATACAATATACCTACTCAGATATTTTACCATTAATGGCAATAACTCCATTTCAGTTGTCGTTGCTGCTCCCTTCATTTCTATCAGACAGCTTTTTACGTTCTGCTCTGCTGCATGTCCCGGTCGTCTGTTCACACAGGAAGTGTTTCTGGCAGTGGCGCTGCTATGTGAGGTTTCTGGTATAACAATTGTATTTCTTCGAATAAAGGTCAGGCTATGTATTCAAAAAATGCCAGGAAACAGTCATAATTGTGACTCAGGGGTTAGAGCAGTGGTACATCAAACCAAAAGGTTAATGGTTCAATCCCAGTCTTCCGAATTGTGAACTCCAAACTGCCCCTTGTATAGAGATAAGTGCTGCACATAGATGCACTGTATGAATGTTTGTGTGTGAGTGGGTGAATTTTAGACTCACTCAGACAGTGTAGACACTCTTATCTGTTAACATGTGCGCAGAAATGATTTATTTTAGACTGTACTGTAAATTGCTTTGAGCGATCATCAAGATTCGAAAAGCGATTTGGAAGACGCATGTCCTCCCTCCTCACTCCCCCGCTGACCTGTGCTCACTTTACATGTTAATTAACACCATCACCAAACAGAAGTTATTAGGACACCTACAGTACTTGATGGTGAGTTTGTGTTTGTCCGATTCACTCTGGAGTTGGTGAGACACTTATTTAAACACATTAAAAAAAGTCCAACATTTTGCCTGCACACAGTTCACCTGATCATGATCAGACAGCATCAATGGATAACTGAATATGTGTGATCGTCAGTTTATGTCAAGAGACGAGCACATACTCACACACACACACACACACACACATACACACACCTGCAGAAAAAATGATATAATAATGTTGTTTGTGGTCTTCTGTGGTTTCAGGCAACCAGACAAACTGAGAGTGGTGTGGATCAGGAGGAGTCGACGTCACAGCACAAAGGTATTAAAGCAAAGAAAAACGAGACATACAGTAGAATTCAAGTTTTCATATAATAGCTAATTTTCTTTTCATGACTCTCAGAGTAGAAAGTGCTCAAATACTATGAAATCTGTTCTGGATTTTTAAGGTTAAAATATCTTTTTAGTTTTGCAGTTCAAATGTGCAGAGGTTTAAAGACAGTTAATTGAAAAATGAGCCAACATTTTTGGAGATTGAATCCTTTGTTTCTGTTATGTTTTCTGCCAGCTCCACAGTTGGCAGCCTGGGATTCAGAACCCCTACAGAGGCCTGGTGATTTGGCAGGTTCCAGAGAGTTTAGACGTCACTGTCACACTCTTCAAGGCAAGTCTCTTCTTATTTGTGGCGGAATCCTTCTGTGAAATTGCTTAGTAATTTAATCTGGATTTGAAATGACATGGCTTAGACACCAAGCAATCATGCTTTTCAACAGGAGCCCACTGCAGAGGAGTTTGAAGACAAAGATTGGACTTTTGTCATTGAAAATGTGAGTCTGGTCCGTCCGTGATATCCTTGGTTGTGGTTTCATTTAATTTATTGAACAAACTTTGAATTGCTAGACTCAGATAAAATGTATTCAATAATGTGTGTCCATTTGGTTTATTCTACAGGAGACAAAAGGCCGCAGGAAGGTGCTGGCATCGGTTGACGTCAATATGAAGAAGTTTGCCAGTGTCACGCCGGCCCAGTATGATGTAACACTGAAGCTCAAACCGCTGTCTGTCAAAGTGTTGGAATGCACGCTGAAACTCAACCTGTCCTGTATCTTTCTCAAAGAGGGGAAGGCCACGTAAGCCATCAACTCAGCAGCGTAACATTCATTGAAAACAGTTGTGCCTCAAAACTGTGTAGTTGTACCTCAGAACTTAAATTAGCAGTTAAAGCCCAGTAAAACGACCAATAATGATATTTTATAAAAGTTGTAAGACAATTATTTTTCTCCCCCCACAGGGATGAGGACATGCAGAGTTTGGCCAGTCTAATGAGTATGAAACAGAGTGACATTGGCAACCTGGACGACTTTATTGACAGCGATGATGAGGCTGGAGAGGAGCGAAGGGCCAGCTTTGGCACTGGCGTTGCTGCTCATGTTTCTGGTAAGAATAGGCACACGTTTGAGGATCATTGGGCTGGTTGCAGGAAATTAACAAACAATCTGAGATGAAACAGTACTAATCTGAGATTATATTTCAAAGTGATTACTGGCAGATTATGTATTTTGTAGTCTTGCACTTTGCATCACATTGAGTCACATATTCATACAGCTCTTCACTAGCAAACACACACACTGATGGTGCATTAATATCTTCCTCGAGGTAAGGTTCAAGTTTTTTCTCTGCACAGTTGCCAAGTGCTTACTCATTGTGGAAACTGTTGGGTTTCTCTCTAATAAGGTCTTGAAATAATGTATTTGGCACTATACAATTAAAACTGAATTGAAATCGGATGGTCTTGTGGATTCGGTATCAGATATTTAGTGGGCAAATGGACAACTGTCTATTTCCAGTCCCACAAGAAGTTTCTTTTTTTGTATTTTAATGCATAAAATATTGAACATTTTTCTTAATTTATCAATCACACTAGTAATTGATGATAAATTATTTTAGAAAACGATTCCCCTGATGTTTTTTTCCCCAAATGCTGCTTCCTCTCAAGCTTCCTATTTAAAACTTACCTCTTTTAATCTTTCTGTGCCCTGTACCCTTTTATCTTCCTGTAACAGCTTCTGCTCTTTCTACTGCAAGAATACATGACCTGGCTTGGAGGCCTGCAATTGAATCAGGCCCCACAGGTATTTTCCTTTTTCCTGATTTACCCTCCCACCTTTTTGTTTGGATCCTGATAGGTCACAGAATTCCATCTTGAGGACTTATTATATTGACATACAGTATGTAAATCAGATATGTAATTTGAAGGTTTTTCTCTTGTCTGTAGTTACTGTGTTGAAGACTAATCTGATGATCACTTCCCATTTCAGCCGTCCACTCTTTCATTTCTTCTTTTCCCTGTCCATTTCATGTCTTATCTTTGACCCAGAGATGGATTGCAAAACTTCTGGCATTTCCTCCACCATCTCGGCCCCATTCCATCCTCCTCTGCCTGAACCCCCACACCCCTCTGTTCCATCCTTTTTATTACAAACCCACACACGACCACCAAGCACTAACCAGCAGGCCCGACCCTCCCCCTATGCCTACTCATTACCGGCCTTTACACGTGCTCACCCTCCTGCACTTCCGAAAATCTTCCAGCCCAGTGTGGGATCAGGTATCTGTGTGCAGATATTCCTCATCCTGTGTGGTCTCTTTTTTTCTTTGGATCAGATTGTTTTGTTAGATATTAAAGAAATACCTCTCTGCATTGTAGAGTCACACTTGAGGTTTGGACAAAATATCTACAGTTAAGTGTTTGGTCACACTTTAATCAGGCTTAAGATCACATGCCTTTTAACCACTGAAACAGTTGTGGTTCCTTTTTTTCTTATAAGAAGCCAGTGTATGTGTTCAGTGAAACTTGTAGTCCATACTTGTTTTAATCTGATCCACATGTTTAATTGGAATGAGGCACCCTCTGCTGTGTCCATCAAACTCTGCCAAGGAACAAATTGAATGTCCTCATTTTGAATCCTTGAGCTTCACCCAGGCCGACAAATGATTCCTCCATCATGTGAGATTTACTGGCAAATCTGGCAAATGTCTGAAATGTTCCATCTACACAGCAGTGTTCCATAGTCACTGTAAATGTGTGTTCAGGAATGTGTCTGACATTAGTTTTTTCTCCATCGGCAGCCAGACAGTGCGGTTGCCTGGCCAGTGAGGTCCAGTCAAATAAACTGCACTTTCAGACTCTGTTGTTTTCACATTATGCTCTGATCTGTGTTGGAGAAGTCAAGTGGTTTGCAAATGAAAGTCTGTCTATATTGTATGGAAACAGCAATGACTAATTTTATTTTAGGGATATTATATATATTATGTGTACAAAGTATCTAGAAAGTGCATCAATCAATTGTAATACATGTATAATTCTTAGTGTGAGACAGATTTAACAGCAGATTTACAGACTCTTAGCTGGGTGGATTTAATAACATATAAGCCATATTTTACCAAAGCAAAGTATTTGTCTGCATCTGTCTGTTTCTGTTTACAGTTTTACTGGCTGTTTAAATTTGATGTATTTCTAGTTTCTTTTGACATTTTCATATCTTTAAAATGTCTTCCTTTCTGCCATTTCCTGCCTCTCCTTTCTTTTTAGTGCCCATTTCAGCTCCTCGTAGACCCCATAGCTTCCATAGTGACTCCTATCCAGCTGAGGCCTCGGAGGCCCAGTTCTTTTCTAGCTGCACTTCTCCTGAAGCCCTTTTCACCTCTTCTGTCTCTGCTACTCCCTCTGATCAATCACCCCACCCCCCTGTTTTCCCTGGTGCTTCACAAACAGGTATTTTGTACTTCCGTTAAAATAGCCAACGCTCAAAAATACTACTTTTAGGCTCTTTCTGTGTTAATGATCAGTGCCAAAGAGACCTGAGCTTCTATTAAAAGATACAGTTAAAAATGTATGTTTCTGCACCGCTGATGGCTGTAGCCAGAGACTATTTCGTTTTTTAGTTGCAGGTTTGTCCTCCTCCTACGCTCATGGATTCAATATCCCAGCAACAGTTTAGAAATGGATTTGGATTTGGTGAATTTGATAGTCAAAGGTCACAGGTCATGTACTTGTCAAACCTGCCCTACAGAATAAAATGATGTCATCTTCACTTAGCAATAATAAGTTTCTGTCCGTTATTCAACATCAAACACAGGAACAGAAAGGTAGCAATATTTCTTGTAAGTTGACTGGTGTGTGGAGACAAACCACTACAAGGCTGAAATTCTAGTTATCCCAGTTTCCAGTTTGTGAATACCACCAGTGAACACTGTTTACCTAACCTGGTTTTGCATACTTTGCCTTGGGTCTTACATTCGGATTACTTTCTATGAAATTTTCGCAAAACATTATCGTAAACTTGTTTTAGAAGTCCTCCTTGGACCAGTCAATTGAAAGCTTCCTTACACTTACTGGAGGAGCTGCTTCACAGCCCTGCTTCTTGGAGGTCTCGAGAGTTTTTATGTTACGAGCTTAAAAACAGTATATTAAATGATTTTAAACGTTTAATATTTCAAATTAAAAGTTTTTTGCAGAATTATTCTTACCATCTTTTCCCATCTTCCTCTCTCAGCATGTCCTAGTATCTGGAGAGCACAGAGCGTTCCTTCTGTTTCTTCTGTCTCCTCCTCATCAGCTCCTCCCACCTCCTTTCCTATTATACCTCCACCACCTCCTGCTCCACTCCCCAAAACTCGCCCCACATCTGGGGGGGCAGCAGGTTCAGCCCTCACCAGACCCACCAGTCTACCATCTGCCCCCGAGACAGGTACAGGGACAGAGATACAGTGTGGCCTACTATACTAGTTCATACTTTTCATTTCACGAACCTGTTGCCATGTATCTCGATCCTCCCATGTTCTTTTCCTTGTCATCTATTTTCCAGCTCCCTGGCAGAGTGAGTGGAGGCCTCCTAAATCTCAGGCTCCTCTAGCACAGAAAAACCTCTCTCCAAAGTTTCTTCACCTCTCTGCTAGTGACCCCAGAGAGCCTGCAGTGCTGCAGAAAAAGCAGAGAATAGAGATGCCATGTAATGCTGCTCTTTTCTAGCATGACATCCTCTCTCACTGATCCCCCTGAGCCTCCCTGTTTTACTTTTGTTCCTTTCATTTATTTTTCTGCTCTTACCTAAACCCACTACCTTGTCTTCTGTTCCTACATGTAATTTACCAATACTATATGTTGCCTTGATTCATCCTCACTACTTCGGCATTTAAATTTGTAAAAGTGATCTGACCCGAGATCAGTCTCTTGACAACTTTCATTGGTTTTGTTGTCAAGCTTCACCCGCATACACGTCAGTATGTAAGTGTGAAGCTAAATTAATACAACCACATTAATAATCAGATCAGCTAACATTATTACAAAACTGTGTTTTACTCTTGTTCTTTGTTACTTGACACATAAATGCACTAACATTGGAGAAAAGGCTCACCGAACTGATTTTGGAAAGCATACTCAAAGTTTGGGTTACTGATATCCCTCCCTCCATTCTTTCCCTCCTATCTCCTTTCTTCCTCTCCTTCCCACCATGCATCAGTTTCCTCCCCATCAGCTTCATCCTCTCTGCCCATTGATCAGTCTTTGGAACAGAAACCACAAGGAGGGTATGGATTTGTTCCTTCCTGGATACCCCAGGCCACCCCTGTTATAGAGCCCTCACTTCCTCCTCTAAGGTCTTCCTCTGCTCTAATTCTCTGTGGGCCTCCTCCTCCTCCTCCTCCTCACACATCCCAAACTGTCTTAGTCTCCCCCAGTGACCAAGATTCAGGTACAGAATCAAAAAGGAACAAGATTCACGTTGTTCCTGCATGATTCCGAGCAATAAAATAAGTGACCAAATACATCTCACGTCTCTCTCTGCTGGTTGTTTTTATTTGCTGGTAAAAATATGCACTGTTCATTCTGTAGTGCCATATAAACAAACTTACTGGTTATTTTTGTAATATTTTCTTCTCTTTTAGAATTCAAAAGACATTTGAGCACACTGAGTGAAGAGGACCAGTGCACCACACCTACAAGTGAGCATGAACACAAAATGATGTGAATTAAAATAAGTGAAATCTACTGTATATAAAATTACTACAACTTTATATTATGTTGCTTAGCGCCTGATCCAAGGATCCCAACCAGCCGAATGACTGAGAAGTCCAGTGCTTCAGATCGGAAAAGAGATCTGCATTTTGGAGTTGAGGTTGTTAAGACGACAGCTGGGTGAGTAAATATGAGGCCATTTTTCTTTTATCAGGAATGGTGTGGTTGGCATGGCTGCTATGGAAATACTCACCAGAATTTGTGGTGTCAAATGTTTTTAATGAGTTGCAGTTTATGACTCAAGAGAAATATTTCAGCATGAATAGCAGTACGCTTTAGACAACTGAGTAAGCCCTAATCAGTGGGTGAAGCTTTCATAAGAACACTCTTCACTACTAAAGAATCATCATCAATAAATAACTGAATATGAGTGATCGTCAGTTTATGTCAAGAGACGAGCACTCTGTCTCACACACACACACACACACACACACACACACACACACACACACACAGACACTCTCTCAATATTACCCATCTATCAATTACCCCACAATGATAATCTTAATGACCATACAATTCCTCCACCCCTTTTAATATTCAAAGTTACACTAAAAATGCAATTTCATCATCCTTTTAATTTCATTGTTGGAAATCATAATAAAAATTTGTCTCAGGATCTATGTTCATTTTAAAAATATATAGTTTGAAAGGAACTTTTCACTTAACATATTGTATAAAAAGCATTTTAATAAGGTCACAATAAAGAAAATATTCTAGGCCTAATGAAAACACCAAACTGACCAAAAACTTCAATAGGATGGAAAGCATTACGGGATAAAAGTAGAACATTAATATTTGGCAATTCGTTGGCAATGATTAAATTTTGAACAGATGGAACTATTGATAGTTTGTAGGGACTTTCTGAGCTGGTTTAGCCAGTGGCATCCATCTTGAAAAACCTGTAAAAAACTGTTCTGCCTTTTGCCTACAAACAAACTTGTCATTTGTTTAGCCTGAAGGGGTTCAGGGAATGTCTGAAAACATTCTAGGATAAATATAGGACTCAAGGGAAAAAGTAAAACACTTGCCAGAATTGCCAAATTGCCAAGAGAATATTTGAAATGCACATCTGTGAAAATGTATTTGTAATTCAGAATTTCATGTCTTATGGCAGACAATTTCTTTTAGATAGAATAACTAATGAAATACCCCTTTATTGTCACCTGAAAATCTTGTAGCCTCCACTGCTTATGACTATGTTTCTAGGCTGCAGAAAAATATAATCTTGCTTATTTGGCTGTGCATGAAATATCCTCTGCATATAGTAATTCTTTTTGCATTCAAATTTAATCAAAAAACAACTTAGTCCAAGTCATGTTGATGTAGCAAGTGTCAGATCTGATAGGTTTCCTTCATTGCATTATTGTATTACATTTTTATTATTTTATTTAGCACTGTGCAGTTTGCCAAGACCTGGTCATTTCTTCCATGATTTATGATAAAATGTGACAGTTGTTCAGCATTGTGACTATGGCCTGGGTGTGACATCATTCCTGTGATGGAGACTTTCCTTACATCCTACTGTCTGTTTATCCCTCAGACCTAAAAGCTCTGCTTCACTTCTGACCATTAGCCCCAGATCACCCATTGCCCCAGGGCTAAAATATTTTGAGATGCCAAAAACACAGACGGATCAGACAGAATCAAGAGTGAAAAGGATATACCCCAACATCCAGGAAACACTTCCTCCCCACTTGTCTGGAACTAAGCAAAACCCTGATATTCATGATCCAACATCCACTTCAATCAAGGAGCCTCTGGTTACATCAAGGAGTCACCTGTCTAAGATGCCCATTCAGTTAGGGAGTCCAATAACCCAACCTGAGTCTGTTCAGCATACACACCATTCTCCTTTAACTCCCCAATCTAATTCCAAATCACTTCAGGGACCTTTGTTGCACTTGCACGAAACTGCTACAACTTCTGACACAAAACCAATTCTAAGGATAGGACTGACCCACAAAAAAGAACCTATAACTAAGGATTTTGGGTAAGTGTAGCATGGTGTTCTGTTAGTTAATGCCTACCCATTACATAGTCTCAAAAATGCACATGAGTTCCTATCAATGTAAGCACTAGCAATATACAAGTAAATCATGTCAATTAATAATACCTTGATTTTCCTTTAGAGTTTTCTTAAGTGCATCAGTATTTTTGTGCTGACATCAATCTTTGGTATACTCTACTCCTTCAGAAATGAGAGCATCACTGCCTCAGTGCCATCTCTTCTCAGAGACACCAGTTCTACTTTTTCTTCAATGGAGGTGAACAAAATTCAAGAAGCTCAGTCTGGAGAACAGTCCATTACAACACACTCACTGTGGGAGGAGTCACAAAGAGGCACTCTAAAAAACAACCCTACTGTTTCAGTACCTGATGTAGATGAGAAAATCAAAAGCATCACAGATGCCTTGGACCAAGTCACTTCAAGATTGGACCCTCATGTTGGGTGTCTCTCGGAACAGCAGCCCACAACAAAGGATTTATCAAATCAAACAAAAGAATCTGTGGCATTGCCTCCATCTAGTAACTTTGTTGCCTGTAGTTTGGATTCAGATAATTGTATGGAGGAAGGGAGAACTGAAAATGTGTCTCAGTCGATAAATACGAGCCCATTGTGTGAAAGAGATGGTAGAGTTAAACAGGAGCTTGTGTTACCAAGCTCTACAGTCAGAATAGAGGAACAAAGTGTGGAACTTAGTTTGTTGGGTACTAGAGGGAGTTCTGTTTCTCATTTACCATCAAACATACTTTCTGAAGTACAGATTGAAGAAACTGTTAGAATGCCCAGTATGCTTAATTTACTTTCAAGTTGCTCACAATATTCCAAGATTCCTGGCATGCCATCTTTATATCACTCACAAGTTGTAGCTTGGCCAGATGAGAGAAGTTTACTTTTTCTGACGTTACCCAGCAAGACATTGCAAGTACCCCTGTTAATAGATTATTTGAATTCTATTTATGCAGGTAGTGCAGGAATTGCAAACATGGTGGACCTAACACCATCATGCTCAAAGTCTACAAGTATTCCTGGATTCCCATCTGCTATGAAACGTGAACCTAATATGGCTCGGCTTTTACCTACATGTCCCAAAGTTTGCAGTGTTCCAGGTTTAGCTTCTGTTGGATCAGTGCTTGGATATGATAAGAATGTTTGGGACAGATGTTCTCTATGGACAAAAACATTGCAGATAAAAGAAGCATTGGTTTCAAATCTGTCCTGTGTTCAGGAACAAGATATCAGTGATACTAACATGATTAAAGTCATGGTGGCCATGTTGCCTACATGTCCTAGAAAGGCCAGTGTCCCAGGCTTTCCATCTGAACAATTGCAGAAGGCTTCCAACACTCCAAATATGGTCAATTGTCTCCCTACATGCCCCAAACAGACATTTATTGCAGGTATGCCATTTAGACAAAGACTTATGACATATAAAGACAGCTGGCATATTTTGGGAGAATTAATATTAGATAGACCATTGAGAAGTCATCATGTTCTCATTGAGGAAAAGTCACAGGAGGATAAAGAACACATAACACATATGGTAAACATGTTACCATCTTGTCCCTGTAAGGAAACCATTCCTGGATTTCCCTCTGTGCCACAAAGAAAAGAACCCAGTGTAGCTTGTGTACCACCAAGGCAAGATCCTAGTATGGTGGATGTTTTTCCAACTTGCCCAAGAAAAACCAGAGTCGCTGGTTTTCCCTCTAGGGAGCCAGTTAGTACTCAAGATGAAGGTTTGGTTATAACCAGGCATATTGTGATGGCAAAACCACTTTGTAAACGTGAAATCCTGATTCATGATATTTCCCCAAGTGCTGCTCAAGATCTAGACAAAGGAGAAATTTTCAGTTCAGTGGCATTGTTGCCTTCATGTCCAGCAATATCCTGCTATGCAGGTATGCCCACAGCCCCCCATAAGCTGTCAAGAAATATTGTCAGTCTTGTATCTATATGCCCTAAACTGACCCAAACACCTGGTATACCATCTAAAGACCATAACAGTTCAGATAACAAAGACTGGCATGCCTTGAGGATATTAATTAACAAGAGACCAGAGAAGAATATACATGCTTACATTGTTCAGTGGATACAGAAAGACACTGATACCTTTAAATATGGTAGAATGGTTGATATGTTAATGAGTTGCCCCGAAAATGCCAACGTTTTTGGCTTACCCTCTGCTCCACGGCAAGAACCTAGTATGATTAATGTAATGCCCTCATGCCCCAGACATAGTGCAATCCCTGGTTTGCCTTCAAAGACTGGACAAACACTTTGTTCCTCTGCCTGCAAGGAATGGTTGGCTTATAAAAGTCTACAATGGAATAATCCATTTGTCAAAAGGGAAGAGCAGATTCTAAATGCAGCTTCATGTTTTGCACTAATCTTGCATTCAAATGATCCAAATGTGTTCCATCATGATTGTGACTGTGACAGATCTATGGTATCCATACTGCCCTCCTGTCCACGGACAGCCTGTTTACCAGGCTTTCCATCACTACTATGTCAGACATTGGCTGATATGCCAAGTATAATCAATCTGCTGCCTACTTGTCCAAGACATACCAGAGTTTGTGGAATACCATCTAGATTTTATAATGAGTCTGATAAAGTAGAATGGAGTGTTGACAAAATGCCAGTGTGGAAAAACCCATTAACAAACCCTAGAAGGGTGTCAGTAATACATGACCAAAAGATGTATTTGAGAGTGAAGGAAGTGGTTCAAATAATGGTATCCATGTTGCCATCATGTCCCAAACACTCTAATATTCCTGGTATTCCCTCTAAGTTAGGAAAGAGACCAGTGGAACCTTTAATTAAAGAGGCTCCCAGCATGTTAAAATCATTTGCCACTTTACCAAAACACAGTAAAATTCCAGGTCAGCCTTCAAAGTATAGTACAAAAGAATTTGACTGCTGGTTCGAAGACAGGGATGCAATTTTGGAAAACCCATTTAATAGAGGGCATAGGTTTGGTAACCAAGATTTTAAAGTTAGGGAAATTACACACTGGGACAATGAAATCATGCTGAGAATGCTTCCATCATGTCCACGACAAGCCCTGAATCCTGGATTTCCATCTGCTTCACAATCCCAAGCTGTTGATGCCAGTGTAGAAAAAAATCTCAATTCAGTAGAATTGACATCATGTTGCCCGACACTGTCAAGTATCATTGGTTTTGCTTCAAGAGCATCAGTTATTTCTGATACTAAAGGGGGCTGGCCCGTCGCGACAGTAAAGACAGAAGGCTGCTGTCAATTTCACCAAAAGCATCACTGTCTTTACAAAGATAGAATCAAGGCAGTTCTTTCTCCTGAACCTTCTTGTCCACCGCCTGACATAGACCGGCTTCCAAATATGGTGAATATTGTCCCCTCTTGCCCAAAGAAAGCGTCTGTTCTCGGTGCACCATCAACACATGTGCACCAGTCAGGACAAGGGTGGCTAGTTAAAAAATCTATATTGATGAGTAATCAGTTGCCATTGGAAGAACAATACCTTAGTAGGTTTAATGTCAGAGAAAGATCCATGCAGTTGATATTCCCCTTCCAAGATGAACAAGATGTGCAACAAAGGACAGTTGAGTCATCAACCTATCCCATTGAAGCCATTGTCAGAGATTTACCATCATCAAGTTTTGAAATTCAAGTGGATCAGCCATCCTCAAGATTTGATGGGATTGTGATGTTGGATGGTGAGGCAATTCCAGCCAGATTAGATCTTGATGCAAAAAAACCAAGATTGGATGTGTGCTCACCTTTAGAGATGCATAAAGATGAACAGGGCTTTTGGACAGAGGCCAAAGGAGTAGCTGTACTAGAAAAAGGGTGAGTCGGTTGGAATTTAAGAGTTAGAGTTCTGTCTGCGATGTCAGACGAAATTGAAACATTTGCTTTCTGACTCTGTTTTCAGAAACTTGCATTGCAGAATGTGGCACTCCCTTCCTGACATGCCACTATTGTTGAGTGTTAAAAAGAGGTGGGTTGCCTTGGTTTGCACAGTGATGCAATTATGTGTTGCATTTGCACTATTCCAACACCATTTGGCTGACTTTTAATGGCAAAATTTGCTTTTGACGTGCGTGTCATCTGTGGAGATTTAAATTGCTGTGCAGTTCCCAGATTAATATAAAGATGTCTGTCTTGTCACCTGTCATTGCTTCAACCCCATGGGTCAGAGAGAAAGTCAAGAAACACATACATCAATAAATTAGATCATACACTGACAGGAAGACTAAGAAGAGGGCCCTTGAGTCATTGTGGAGGGTCACAGAGTCATACCTAGGAAGAGTCAAATGAAACTTTTTCATTAGAGTTAGGGGATGTCTTCACTACATTCTATGGCATTGTGGACCAAGGGTATGTTCAATACTTGTGAGAGTCAGTAAGTGGGAGAGAGAATGACACGTGGCATTTGTTTCTGTCAGAAATATTTATTTGTAATAATGTGTTGCATGATGATAATGCCCTCTTCAGGTAGGCTTTATTTTAAATGGTTATAGTGGACTTGTAATGCTACATGGTCACCAATGAGAAAAAATATAATAAAAAAACAACTGCAGAAAACAGGCGCGAGCTGCAAGTAAAAATAAGAAAGTGACAGAGACACCACGCCAGGTGCAGATGTCAGTAGAAACAATGGATTTTTGGAAAAGAGTATTAAGGATTTTTAAAGAATCAGTGGAGGTAATAAGTTAACAAAGATGTGTATAACAACATCCACTGCATCAGTGTGGGTGAACATCTTAAATTAAAGAAATCCACAATTATGTTATTAGAAAGCTACAGTTTTACAAGTTTTTGAGGAATCGGCTGTGAAGGACTTGATAAGAAATATTTTTTCTGCCCACCCATGGGCTTTACTGCACTGGCTGTAAAGCAGTAGTTGTTATAGTAACCTAAGCAAATGTGGCATGATGTTTTGCTTGCAGAAGTGCAGCTTGTAGCTCTAGTGAAGAGTTTTTAATACAGACTGGAGCAAGTGTGGTGTTCTTTTTATTTGCATGCGTGATACTAAAWATATATATATATTATTTATATCTTTGCTATCATATACAGATTGTAGTTGCATTTTTTTCAATGGAGCACTACCTGCTTTTCCATTGATTGACTGAGGTACAATGTACCACTCGATTGGAATGAAAATATGTAGAATTACATTGTTGGTAATGGGAATGGTCTTCTGCAATTCCATTTTATTTGGCACATTCCTACTGTTAATTTTTTACTAAAACTTTGTATTTACCTTCTCTTTAGACCTCCAAACATGGTTTCACTACAGCCATCATGCCCAGTTGTTGCTGGTGCAGCAGAACCCCAGTCCCAGACCCAAATAATTAATGCTGAGCAGATGTTAGACAAACATCCTACAAATGGGACCATATTATGGGAAGAGCTTCCAAAGGTGACAACAGAGATAACTAGAAATGCATCAGAGGAAGAAATGGAAACAATGAGAGAAATGGTCAGTCACATCCCAATGCTCCCTGGTGCTGCCACGATGTTAAACACTGATGATGAACAGAAGACAAAGACAGCAACTGGGATGACAGATCTGTTACCAATATGCCCAGCAGCTAGTGGCATATTTGAATTTTCTGCTACTGCTGAACAAATGAATGAATGCCCACTGGAAAGCCAGCCTACAAGGAATAAGCCACCGAAGAATAAGGAAATTCTAACAAGTGACTGTGCTCTTCATTTAAAAGAAGAGGCAGATTTAGTTGAACAAACTATGGATGAAAAATCTTCCCATCCTAGTGCACAGTGTATGCCATATTATGTTAAGACTGAAATTGAGAACAAACTGTCCTCTTTCATGATAACATGTCCCAGTATGACAAACATTGCTGGCATGCCATCTAAATTGCCTGTTAAAGTAAAACATTCACTTATCGAACATAAGCCAATATGGGAGAAACAATCAAAAGTAAAGGAAATATTTCCAGGATGTGCATTTGTTGATGGAACGAACAAGAAAGAAATGGTTTTACTGGTACCTTCTTGTCCCAGAGAGGCTAGAACTCTAGGGTTCCCATCATTATCACACAACAGTTTTCTTTTCCGTGGACTAAGTATGGTGGATATGCATCCCTGTTGTCCACATCTATCAAGTATACCTGGCATACCATCTATCAGTGGAGCTAATAACAGATCATGGATTCCTCAACAGAAACCATTTATAAGTAAGAAAATGAAAACTGAGCTTGTTGTCATGGCAGTTTCACTGAAAGAAAAACAAGAAACAACTAAAGTATATCATGAATCAGATATGATGAGCCTTTTAAGTTCTTGTCCAAAAACCTCATGTGTTGAAGGCTTTCCATCATTAATGAAGTATCAGTTGAACAAAAGCTGCGCTCCAGATCTCCAACCATTCGGGGTAACACTGCCAAAAATCAACATAGCCATGATTGAAGATAGAACTCACAATGAAGAAGTGAAGGCCGTGCCAGCTTTAGACCAAACTTTTACAAAAGAGACTGGAGTGCATGAATTTCCATCTGATCTGGAACCTACAGTAATCTGCAAAGGGTCTAGTAGCATCAATCTCCTTCAGTCTTGTCCAGCTATCTCCTTTATAGCTGGTTTTCCATCAATACAGAAAGCTGACAGCCAAGATTGGAACATTATTCATCAGCCATTATGGGAGAAGCCATTTAAAAAGGATGTGTTAACACTAAAGAACAATGGAATACAAAAAGACATGAGTGGAATTGTTTCTCTTGCACAAAGTTGCCCATGTAAATCCAGCATTTTTGGTTTTCCCTCTGTCCCAAAACCAAGAATGAGTTATGGTATTGACATGACAAATATGGTCAGTCTTTCCTGCTCTTGGTCAAAAGAGTCGCAAATACTAGGATTTCCATCATCTCATAATTCAAAAGAATGGAATATCAGCAAGGAGCCACTGTTTGAACCAAGAATGAAAGAAAAGCAGGTGTCACTGACTGACATATATGAAAGAGATGAGAGAGCAATTAAAACTATGATTTCCCTTGTACCATCCTGTCCAAAAGCAGCACGGATACCAGGATTCCCCTCTAATCCAAATCCCTTAAGTGTGTATTGTGCACCAGATATCATCAGCCTTTCTACACTGTGCCCCCAAGTTTCCAAAATACCTGGGATCCCATCAGTTGTTGTGAATATGAGTTTAACATGGGTAACAGAAAGGGGATCACTGTTAAAGAGACTACCAATGAATGGGGTCTTATTTGACAAATCAAACGACAACAAGAAGATAATCAAGAATATGGTTTCCCTTGTACCATCTTGCCCTAAAGTGTCAAGAATTCCTGGTTTTCCCTTTATCTCAAATCCCAAAACAGTGTATTATGGCCAAAATATAGTCAACCTTCTTCCTTTGTGCCCTACAGTTTCTACCATATCGGGATGTCCATCAGTTGAAGGTCATGAGGAAAAAGGATGGGTTACTGATCTGGGTTCATTGATGAACAGACGACAAAAAGAAATTCTGTTAAGAATTAACAGCTCACCAACTAAAATAGACAAACAAAACATGCTTTCTTTGGTTACATGTTGCCCAGGAGCATCAAAGATTCCAGGCTTCCCATCCTACCCCCGATACAATATGCTGAGTCTTGTACCTGTTTGTCCCAAAATATGCAGTTTCCCAGGATGTGCATCCAGTGAAGGGACATCAAAATTCCAGTGGCTTTTCGATCCACACACTTTGTGTGATTTTCTTACTAAGGAGAGAATTTTAGTGATAAATAGGCCAAATCAAGATGGAGAAACTGGGGGAAAAATGCTGGCCTTAGCACCATCTTGCCCAGAGGCATCAAGGATCCCTGGGTTCCCATCTGCACCTCAAACCAAATCCAAGATTGAACCCAATATAATACGTTTTGTACCTTGCTGCCCAAGTGTTTCGAGTCTCAACGGATTTGCATCAATGACGACAACCACAAGCACAGAATGGTTACATGAAGCAAAACCAATTTTGAAAAAACTTCAGCAGAAGAGGACAGATGTGACTATGACACTTGATGGACAGGACCAGCTAGATTGCTCCAACATAAAAAACATGGTGACATTAGTGACATCCTGTCCAAAAGAGGCCAGAGCATGTGGTTTTCCTTCTGCTCAAGTTGTAAACAGACCACCAAACATGATCAGCTTATACACATCTACCCCATGTGTTTCATGTGTCCCAGGTTTTCCCTCAGCAAGGATGCTTGGCTCTGAACATATCGAAATACAAACAAGTACGCCACACAGAAAGGCCTTGTTTAATAAGCAGCAGAATGAGAAGATTTTTCTTATTGTTAAGTTTCCAGCAAAACTTAAACAAGATGAAATTAATTCAATGGCAGCAATGGTGCCATCATGTCCACATTTGACTAAAACCCCTGGTTTCCCCAGCATTTTGCAATTGAATCCAACAGAGGAAGAAACCATGGCTATTCCATTGCTTTCTATTACTGAAAAGCATACAGCCCCAGAGTTGCCTTATGGACAGTCAGCTGAGCCATACCCCAATGACACAAGAATCCCTGGTGTTCCCTTTACATCTGTCATCCAAAGCACAGAACTTACACATGGTGAGATTTACAGTGTTATGATCAAGCTGAAAGATCAATTTCTTTCTGTGTCATTTCTTTTGTCATTTTTATTATGTTTGCTCTTATGACAGTGAAAACAATCAAAGGTGGTGCGAAGCAAATCGTAGACCTTTCTTTACAAAAAGGGTAAGTTGAAGAGCCCAGTAACCTGGCATCGTTTGCTGTGAAGGGGGCCTATCTAGTGCTTGCCTAACATAGAGTTTGTGAACTACTAAACAGTAGCTTTAGTATCTTGATTATAGACTGCATGGTGAATATCAGCATCTCTTAAATCTGTATTTCATCACTTTTTGTATTTCATTAGAGTATTATTTATGTGGATTATGCCTTACAATCTTTTACATTTGGGTCCCCAGCGTATCACAAGTAGACAGAATAGCAGCAGAAGAGACCCAAACAGTGAAGAAAACGTTGGACACATCAGAGCCAGTAGGAGTCTTGGGTTGGGAAGTGTTGGAGGCAGAGGGAACAATAACAGAAAAACTGGCAGAAACCTCTATGTCAGCAAATGAGGAAGAGACCCCAGGATTAGTAAAGGCTATTGTGGGTGTTTTCCATAAGGGGTAAGTGTGAGACTGGTATTAAATTAATCTAGCATGCAACATGGTTTGCTTCAGTTATTAATCCGCAAGATTAAAAATATTGGCTCCTGCAGCATTAAAGGCTCGCAAATGTCTTTTATGAAATCTGTTTAAATTTGGAACCTCCCATTTTCCCCTTTTAATCTATTTTATTAATATTGAATGGATGTTACACAAAGGTTCTATTGCTCATCGGTCAATACTGGCTTGATGTTGTGTAAGTTAAACCAAATGAAAAACTGGACTGCATTTATTTCTATATTTCAATACTGTATTTCAATACTATTCAATGCAGTGGTTTCTATAATTTGCTACATGATCATAGAAAACATTGTTTTTGCATGATTTCAGAATTCACTCACACATTTCATTATCCATTTCTCACAGTTACGAAACAGTAGTATCCATATTGGGGCCATCTAGTTCCACTGTAATGGAAGTGAATGACCAACCCAAGGGTAACTCCTTTATGGATCTGAAGGACAAGACAGACACCCCTTCAGATGAGTTTTTTCTCCATGTGGCAGACAACACAACTCCCTTACAGAAGATAGAGGGACAGTTCGAAGACATTGGCAATGACCAAAACATTGAATATCCAGAAAGTGCTGAACCTTATATGTGGAACTTGGTATGTGATCAATCAGCATCTCCATCACCAACTATGGACAGTGATGACTGGCATTTAGTTTGTGCAGGCATGAAGAAATGGCCACCATTGACAGAGGCAGATATCACTGAAATATCAGAAGATGGTGAGCAAATAGATGGACGAGAGGTCTCTGATGATCAATGGCATATAGAGGAGAGATTACTCTCAGGGCAGGACTCTGTTCAAACATCAGAGCACATAGAAAGTTTATTACCAAGGTACGAGACTCCGGTAGAACAGGATGAGGTTAGGACAGTGTTGTCTTCTTCACAGCTGGATAAAGGGTGAGTGCTGGTGGACTATGACATGCTTAAGTGTTTGGTTGCATGGCGTGACAACGTACACGTCCTGCATTTTCTGTTGTAACATTGTCTCTTGTTTTGCTGAGGAGCACTCACTTCTCAAGAAATGTTGATGTCAGCTTTTTGTAATAGCTGTACGGATTGGCTTTGTGATGTGGTATGGTCAAGCTGCTTTTGCTGTTTGTGTTGTATATAGGTGTTGTAAACTAAGGTCAACTTTGTCTTTTTGTCCTGTATGGGCTGCTGTGTCATATCAAGTACGCGTGTACATACAGTAACTAAAGCAGAATACTCAAAATAATGTAATTTCTGTTTTGTGATGTGAAACAAGATTTAGTTGCTGTCCTTTAAGTTGAGCAAATTAATGGAGATTATTAATTGGTTGGAGATAGAGTGCATGGAACAACTGTATGACAAAGTCAAGAAAAGAAAATTCTAAAGTATTTTCTTTCTTTTCCTTAAGCCCCGAACAAGCAAGCTTGGAGGAAATTTCTGCTACTTCCCCACAGTGTACATCAAATGAGTCACTTACAGGTGCAAATGAACATAGAGAGGTACTTATAGGCAAACCCTTGGATGAACAAAACATAAGTCCAGCTGGACCACAAGCTGACATTGCTGTTCCTCAGCGTGGCAGAAAGCCAAAGCGTGGCGTTCCAGAGCCTCAACAGAGAGGATCTAATCAAGAAAAAGACATTGTTCCGATACGGCCACTTAGAAGAAAGGATAGTTTAACACCAGACCGCAAACAAAAGCATGGTGGCTATTCTGTCAATCTCCCCACTGAAGCTATTCCAAACCAGTCTGTTTGGAAATATTCTACTGATGATCCCACAAAACCCACCACTGACCTTGCCCCATCTTGCAGCATAAACCTTGTACCTCAGAATTGCCATGACCCAGAAAGTGTTGGAGCTCAGATAATATCCACAGGTGGATATAAACACAAAGAGGAAGCAGAATCTATGCCAATATCTATGTATGTTGCTCCTCCTCGTATTAAAAGAAGAGATAGGAGTTTGCCACCTGAACCTCCGCAGAAAACTTCTCCTTGCAATCCGGTAAGGATAGAAGACTATATCACTAGAGAGAAATTTGCTGAAATAACTCATAACCAACAAGATATTAAAGATCAAGTTAGTCCAGCTTTGGAAACATCTGATCCTTCTACTGCTGAGAGAGTTTGTCAGAAAAGCTATGATGTCTGTGGAGTAATTGAGCCTTTACCGGTCATTGATAAACCATGTCAAACTGCCACTGAAATGACTCCTTCACAACCTGTAGAAAGAAAGGAACAAAACATTAAACAAGAATCTCTTGGGAGTGCATCTGTACAGAAAGAATTGGTCTGTTCAAAGGACAAAGAACAAATCTGTTGTGAGCCAGATTGGCCTAAGAAAAGCAAAAATACATCAGTCGAGGTCGTAACGCATATAATTACCTCCTCTGAAACAAAGGGAATTGACAGCATCACCCCGAAACCAGAACCAGAGATATTTCAGGTTGAGCAAACTGCTTCTCTCTCAATCATCAAGAAGATATGTCTTCCAAAACGTGGAAAAAAATGTACTTCAAGCAAATATGACAAGGGAATTTTGGCTCAAAATGTACCTATTGTTGCAACCATGGAAATTACAATACCAGTGGAGATTGATAACACTGTGATGGGTGATATAGAAAAGATAAATACAGTTGGTGATACAGTCAACATCACATCTTCTCAGAAATCAGAGAATGCCCCAGAGATAGCAGAGGCAGAAAGTGACAAACAAACTACCCAACCTATCCCCAGGCCTCGTTTGAGGAAACGTATCAGTGGCTCCTTCCCAGATGACTTTACAGCTACAACATCTCAGGCAGAGGAGGCACAGGCAGCAAGGCAAGGTGGACCCCTATCAATTTCATCAACAACTAAAGAAGTGGCAACGGTGCAAGACAGCAAAGACCTTCTTCCTCTGGTTCATCAGCCTTCTTCATCGATAGAAGAAGTGAGCGGTGTTTGTCTGAGGAAAACCAGATTGAACACTGAAAGCAGGATTCAAGTAGAGGATGGTAATGCTTCACAGAAGACCATGGGATCAAGCTTGCCTATACCAAAACCAAGAGTAAAGAAACGTCTCAGTGATTCCTTCCCAGATGACATTACAATACTTGGCTCACCACCTCCCTGTGACTCAGACACAATAGCTGATTTGATTGGTCATGAAACAGTCCAACAGAATGGACAGTCAAGCTTGTCTCTTCCACTGCCTCGGGCCAAGAAACGTCTCAGTGAGACTGATTTAGACGGCACTCCACCTGTGGATCTCCCCATAGGATCATCTCAGAGAAACCTAGAGGATTCATCTGTCACTCGAGAGGAGACAAAGGAATGGTCAACATTGTTGGATTTAAGTGTGAGCTCTGAAGGAGGCTTTTTCACAATCCAAGGTGAAAATAATGTTGCATCAGAGGTAGAACAGGAAGTGCTAGCAGCAATGGAAGAAGAACATTTTCCTCAGCCAGAATCTGTAGAGGATACTGAGGGGACACTGGATGAAATCATTGAAGGCTGGACTTTTACAGATAAACATGCAGTTTCAAATGATTCAGAGAATGTTACAGATGCAGTATCTGAGCAGGATGACACTGAAAAAGTCCTGGAAGCAGAGGCAGAGAAGTCCCTTGCTTCCACTGCTGCGTCTTCTCAGGATGACTGGCTGCATGTAGAGGATGGTAAATACAGTGAACCAATGGAAATAACACCAAGGAAGGAAATGAGAGATGAAGAGTTGGACTTTGGCTTTGTGTCTGTAGATGTAGCTGCTGGTTATTTAGAGGATGACAGGTAAGATTAGTGGAAGAAAGGTTACATGATGTGTGTTTTTTTATTGAATATCCTCTCGATATATACGATAAGCATTGCAATTTCCTAATATTTAATATTGTCTATGAATGTGGTTACATTAACAAAATTGTTTGGAAAATCAATAACATCAGTTTGTTTTTTCAGGACAAACATGTATTGAAAGAAACTGCAGTCTATTTTAATCACTTTTCTTTGTTTCTGTGTGTCCTTTCAGGCAAAGGGAGAGAACAGAACAAGTGGCTGGCCTTCCTCAAACCAGTGAACAGACGACACCTCAAAAAAGACCCGCAGATGGGGCTGCTTGTTCGGAAGTATGTTACAGTCTGTCAAAACCATTCAATGTTTGTGTATTAGTAAGTGATTAACTAACTGTGTGCAAGATCATGCTTGGAATGAAGAAACCTCCAGAGAGCTATCACCAGGGCTGCACTTCCCCTCAACTCCAAGGAGCTTGGGAGCCTCTTTCAACTTTTTGTTTTGATTTGGTTCTGATGAATGTTCTCATCAGCTTCATTTCCATTTTATTTTTTACACATTGCTTTGTGACCTGTTGAATTCTCATGCTGGTGACAATCACATTTAACCCATGACTGATTGCATCAATTAACTTCACGATTACACCACCAGCAGTGTAGACTGTTGACACAAGGCAGTTTGGTTCCATGAATTCATGATGTTGATGCCAAATTCTGAGCCAACCTTTTTCATGCATTCTGAAAATGGTTTTCTGTTCACTGTTGTCAACAATGGTTCTATGATTTTTTTTTCTGTTATTGTACTCCCAGCAAAATAACGTCTGTATTGTTTTATAGAGCCTAATGGCCAGTCCCACCTTAGTGATGTCCAGCCAATCTCTACTGGAATGGTGTCAAGAGGTCACACAGGGTCACAAAGGCATGAAGATCACCAACTTTAGCACCTCTTGGAGAAATGGTCTGGCATTTTGTGCCATATTACATCACTTTCAACCAGAAAAGATGTAAGGAACAATTTAAATCCTGTTTTTTCTTCATAAACTGTTTTATGTGTTAATTGTATAATCTTTTTCTTTGTATAGCAATTATGAAATGCTTGACCCATATGACATCAAGCACAACAACAAAAAGGTAAATTAATAAAATAAATTAAATTAAATTACCAGCATATTATATTCCAACATATATTTCTTTTCATTGTTTGTTGATCAGACCTAATATAATCATTCATTCTTTAATTTTTGTACATCTTACAGGCTTTTGATGGCTTTGCTGAACTTGGAATTTCCAGGCTGATGGAGCCGTCAGACATGGTCATGCTAGCAGTGCCTGACCGCCTTATTGTCATGACTTACCTCAACCAGATACGCACCCATTTCACTGGCCAGGAACTCAGTGTGATTCACATCGAGAAGGACAGCAGCGAGTCCAGCTATGCAGTAGCAGGGGACCGGGACAACCAAGAGGACCCAGAAGCAACTGTTCGCTACTGCGCCCAAAGGCTCCAGGAAGAGGGTATAAGTCTTGAGACAAATGGGACAGCAGGCACTGCAGAGAAGGACAGTAAAGCCAGTCGGGATGTGGTTCCACCGCCAAGAACTAAACGGTTGCAGTTTGCTGGGGCAGGTGGGGCTCAGTCTCCCGTAGCACCACCAAGAACAAGTCTTTTGTCCAAGACAGGTTTCTCTCATGTCAAAGATGCTGATCTGGTCAAGAAACGAAGGTCACAGCGGAGGAGTGGGTCTTTGGATGAAGGAGACATATCAGGGGTATGATGCCTTATTGCCTTGGTCATTGATCTTTTTAAATTCTCATCACATTTCTCTTTTACTTATTTATGATATATGAGGAACTCTTTTGTCTTTGTAGGTCATTGCAGGCCAAGAAGACAGTGTAATTAGCCAGAAGAAGACTGAAACTGGTAAGTTCTCCTTGAGTTTTCTACATTGGATTTTAAGATTTGCAATCATTTTTTGTAATAATTGTTTCCAACAATCTAATCAGTGAAGTATACAAAGAAATGGTATCGCTCATTTCTATGTTTGTCTTGCAGAGAGAACAGACACAGTAGTTGAGGAGGGGAGACCAGAAGGCCAGGTCAGTCAGTAACCATTCGTGTCATTGTTGGGTTGAATCTCTAGAATTGTTTCTGTACTTAGTCCAAATTTGTAAGAACTGGGGTTTCCCTAGGAAACAAGTTTTGGTCACACATGTTGTACTAGTGGTAGTGTTTCTTTTACCATTTTAAATCATCTGTATGTCCAATGCTTATCTCACGAACTGTTCATCTTATGTCGACTTTAAATTGCCTGAGAAAGTGCAGTGTCAAATTTGGTTTGATGTGGATAGATGATATGTTAAATATTCATACAAATATTCAGTCAGTGGGGGCGGGGCTTAAGCATCAGTATGTGGACTGAGCTGAAGATGTCCTCTTCTACATCCTCAGATCAGATAAAACACTAGCAGTTGTCCGCCGCTGTTGTAATTCAAAACTCGCTTGCCAGCAATAATATCATCTGTCCAGATCATTGTCATTATTTGATTATTTTTTATTACACCCTATTGTACTGACTGACATTCATGGGAGTCACAGTTACTGATCTCCATCAAGGCAGCAACATTCACAGAATCACTTCCTCTTCAAACTATAAATCACAAATGTGCAGAGAAGGAAAGCAAATCAGTTTAATTTTACGAAAAACACTGACTATACAATCAGTGCAAAAATGCAGCCAGCATTACTGTAGGCCATCGATCAGCCCATTCCAAATGTCGAAAGGCATTGCTCTTGTTAGTACAATGTTGTCTTGTGTGTAACAATTTATCCAGGACCCCAGTCAGTATGTTCTGAGTCAGATGGAAGCCCTCGAAGCAGAACAAAATCACATTGATTCCAGAGCAGGTGTGGTGGAGAGGAAACTCAGACAACTACTGGAAACAGGTAAGCTAGTCGGCTGTCTTACAGAAATGAAATCTCATTAAAGGAGTTTATGGTGACAGCTGGATGCACAGTAGGCAGGAGTTGAACACAGAAAGGAGTCCCCTCAGCAAACTTGACTCTAGGCTGGCTAACCTCTCCCCCCTCTGACATCACGAACCCAAACCTGCCTGGGAGCAGTCATTCAAAAGATCTGACCTTAACCAAATTATAACTAAAGAAAAAGAAAAATTCATCACGTATTGGCAAGAAATGACAAGATCACAGCACAAAACATATTTGGGCCTAAACAGAAAACGAACTGTGGCAGACTAGCTGACCAGAGTAACTGATAAAAAGCTGAAGAAGACATTGACAATGTACAAACTGAGTGAACGCAGTCTGGCAATAGAGAGGCTGTCACTGTGATGGGGGAGCTGTAGAGACAGAACTACACCTCATCACACAGTGTCGAAACTACACAGTCGTTAGAGAGGAATTCTTCTTTTTAAATTCCAAAATCTGACAGAAAGGGAGAAATTACCCTGCATTGTAGGGGATAACCAAGAATGTATAGTGCTGCCGGCTAAATATGTCACTTCCTGCCACAAGAAAAGAGACACCAGTGGGACTTGTGATAAATTGTTACTTACCACAATCTCCTTCTGTGGTTTTTCTTTTTTTTTTCATTCATTGTGTCGTTATTCACTGTTATTCCTTGTAATTTATCTTTAGATTATATCTTCATTATATAACATTATTATTGTAATTGTGCTTTTGCAATACATTTGAATGTCTTGCCAATAAAGCCTATTTAATTGAAAAAAATGTATTAATTTCTTACTTTAGGACACGATTATTAATTTGATGGAACAATTTAACTTCCTTTCATTATTTTTCATTATGATGCGATTTTCTCTCACAGGAAGTGACAAGGTGGAGGAGGAGAGGTTGATTCAGGAATGGTTTACACTGGTTAATAAGAAGAATGCTTTAATCAGGAGGCAAGACCATCTGCAGCTAATGTAAGACATCCGCACTAAACTGATGGAAGCATGCACTGCATAAACTGTAGAATTTACAGCACGATAGTCAATGAATAAATACATCTCTGTAACTAGATATTCACAAGACGCAAAAACTGGGAGCTCTGTGTGTGTGTGTGGGCTCGGCTCCAAAGGCAGCTCCCTTAACAACAAAATTCATAAAACAAAGATATTCAGTAAAAAGAGTGGAAAAACACAGCAAACTTAAAGCTAGCAAAAGAGCTACAGCAAACCGTCTGCCTGCTCATACCTGTATTTAAAGCTCATCTACAAGTGAAAAGAAAATACAATCAAACCTGAATGGAGCAGAGTTAAGTTGAAACAAAGCAACATCATTACATTTCTGTCTTATACCTGGAACAACTTCATGAATCAGTTTTCAGAGACACACACTTTGACCTGCACTCATGTGAAACCCACTACATACTCTATGTACAGTCATACATTTGTCATGGTCATACAGATACATATACATCTTAGTCCAAACACAGTTGGAGATAAAGGTAAACTGACATAAACCGCAATTCTGTAACATAAACATAATAACCTGTAACCTATATTCATTTTAAACTATAGGAACAACACATTGTAATACATCTCTTCTGTTTGACAGGGTGGAAGAACAAGACTTGGAAAGAAAATTTGAGCTGTTAAATGAAGAGCTGAGAGACATGATGGCGATTGAAGGTACAACTTTGCTTTAACATGGTTAATATCATAGTCATGCTCCCTTAAACCACTGTGGTTGAATACTCAGATTTCAGTCTATTGCTCAGGACGTGCTTTCTCAATGCACTGCAATTAGATCATATGAAAGGAAAGCACCCAAGCCCAAGAGGGAGTCAAAATATGCATGACTGCATCTCTGAGTGTTGTTTTCCTCCAGAAAGACAGCTCAGACATTTAGTTTAACTTCTCCTTCTAGCAATGGCAAGTTCTAATGACAATCTTGACTGTACTTCACGTTGTCCATCGCAGCCACAAGTTCATTTCTATTACAGAACACTACATTCTGTTCAATGCATGTAGCAGTGAGGGGACAAAGTGTCCAAGTGACGATATACTGGACAATAAACACCAAAATGATTTTTATAAAAGGCGTGAGCTGTTGAAAGTGCTATTTGTTGAATGCAGATTTCAGGAGAGATGTTCAGCCTCAAGATAATTTTATGTATTGCCTTAGTGGAAACCTGAACTCGTGTCACCTCCCTGATATTTGTTTTTCTCAGTGAAATAAGAACTGTTTATACATTTGAAAACTGTTTTAGATAGTGACAGTAGCGGTATTAGATGTATGACTGTGCAGGATAAATTTATTTATTGGTTTATATATTGTAGTTTACACAAATTTGTGGGGTATATTTTTTTTTGCCTCTGCAGCATAAACATTAGGTGTTTGTATATTGTCCAGTAGTTTCTGGTGCTGCTCCAAGCTTAATTTGGTTAAGCAGGTCAATTAACTTGAAAGTATAGATAAATATAAAAAAACACTTTTTTGAATCCCTCCTAGCTTTTAAAGGTCCATCCTTCACACTTTGTTTTACTTTATAGCTCTCCAGAATGTTCTCATCCCTCTCACCTCTCTTCCTTTGTTTGCCTCTGCTGTCTTTTTTGGTGCAGAGTGTCAGAAAACTCAGGCCCATAAACACAGAGAGCAGCTGCTGCTACAGGAGCTGGTGTCACTGGTCAACCAGAGAGACGAACTGGTTCACAATATGGATGCCAAAGAGAGAGGGTGAGACACAGTCACTGCGCTGGTTGGAGTGTTATCAAAGTCGTCTGTTTCTTTTATTTGCTCTTCAACTGAGGGTATAGGAAACTGGTACGGTGGACTATACACATACAAACTGATTTTTTTTCTAAAATAGTTTTTCCTTGATTGTCGTTGATTGCAGTAAAGTGCAGAGCAGTTCATCCAGCTACTATGCAGAACATCATGCAACAATTTTGTGCAGATGGAGTACTTTCATTTACTATATAGTTTATTTACCTATGGTGCCTGAGGACACTGTGTTGTACAAGGTGCGACATCCTCTGTCCTTAACCCTCAACAAAATTAAGGAAAAACTACCAAAAAACCCTATTAAAAATTGAAATGGAGGATCTTTTGCCAGTACTGGTAGAATATGTGATGAGGCATATTGTGTATCAAGTGGTCTTGTTCAGCTCCCACCACAATCCACCATCATGTAAAATAAAATAAAAACACTTTTATTTATAGAAGCAAATAATTCCAAAGGGGTAATTGTGTTATTAAGTTATTTTTGCTTGTTCAAGAGACATTTGGAAAGTCAGCCTTAATGTTAAATATGTGACTGTCCATGTGTTAACTGTATTAAAATTGTTAGATTCTCTGTTACAGAGAGTGAGGGACTCTGCTTTCAGTGGTGAAGGCTTTGTTAGATTGGACGTGTTCCTGAAGTTTTGTTTAACTTTAAAAATCCCTTCCTTCCCAAAGTAACACTATGAAAATGTGAATTGCGACAGCTGGAAGTAAAAGTCTATCTGCTCTGTCAGACTTTTATAAAGATAGACAAACATCATATGCTTTATTCAAATCCAACCTAAGACTCGTCCTCTTGTCTTCAGAGCTCTGGAGGAGGACGAGCGTCTGGAACGAGGCCTGGAGCAGCGGAGGAGGAAGTATGCTAAACAGCAGAAAGAGAAGTGTGTGATGCAGTGATTGTATCTACCTCCAGCCATTAAACGCTGGGTCACTTCTCTGAAAGACAGTGGGTAAAGACAAACTCAAGAATGGGACAGATGTGTTTTCCACCTGCAGGATTTGCATGGTTTTAAGGCAGCGGGAAGAGCCACTTAGGCCAAGACCACCAACATAGCTGATCCAAGGATCTGCATTCAAACAAGAAAACACACTGAACCAGTAGGAGGTGGTGTTGCCTTTCCAATTGAGGCCCAGGTGGTCCAAAACTAGAGTGAGGCTCTGAGAAATGTCTCGGCTCTGAATCAACTCAAGTGTTATTTTAGAGCGTCTCAGAATGCAGCACGAAGTTCCATTTTATGACGATGAAGATCAAGGTGGTTGATCTGTGGGTAGTGTAACTTCCATTAACCAAACCCAACAGAAGTTTCAACACCAAGATTATACCCACTCAACAAAACAGGCCTTAGTGCCTCAGAGAGCTGCTTGTGCCTTTTGATGATTTGCTTTGCGGTGCCTGTGTTGTGTTTTTAGTGCCTGTTACTGATTGTGAATGTGAGGTTTGTTTGACTGAAAGTATCTTAAAGATGTATGCTGCCAAAAACAGGAGGGTTTAGGGGTGACCGCTGTGGTTTCTTCATGCCTCACACCAATATTTGCATGTTTGGACTGGACCTGCTAATAACCAACAATGATTCATTGTTTTATGATGACTGTTACTCATGACAGGATGAGAAAGCTTCAGGACTAAAGCCTCTGATATGAATATAATGTCTAAATGGTTTTGCAGCTACTGCTCCTATCAGTAATAATCTACCAGTGCTTTCAGCGTTACATGATCAAAAATGATTCATCCATCAATTTTCTGATCTGGGTAAGGTCTGCTTCAGTTGTGGCTTAAACTGCTTTACTGGTGTTGGAGTTATGTAACGAAAGACTGTGGTTTGTGTTCAAAAAACAACTTAGTTAAGGTTATGGAATGGTTGTGGTTCTGGTTAAAACCAATGTTGTTGTAGGTGTTAACCACAAATATTATTACTTTATCTTTGTGCCTCTCCCTACAGACTTTTAGTACCTCTCGTGAATCACAGGCAAAAATGCATTCAGAGTAAACCACCCCTGTCTGTCTCTTTACTGGTCCTCTCTGTGTGCCTGCACAATGTGTAGCTCTCGCAAAGGGGACAGGTTTGCCTTCAAGGATTTATGGCAAAATAAAAATAGAGAAAAACCAAAAATAATATGTGAACTAAGTATAGTGAGGTAAAAGACCCATGTCTGACCCACTTATCCACCACAACATGCTCTTAGTCACTCTTTATGCCATCCCGCCTGACTTCTCCAACAGAAAGCGTTCTCCCTTTAAAATACATTTCTCGGCAAATGTTTTAAATATAATTTGTGATTCAACTTGAAGAAAACATGAATAAGGAAGAAATGTTTTCATTGCTGTCTGTCTGCCTAGCAACCAGGTTTGTTGTTGGAAGGGTTGGGTATGGGCCAAAAACAAGCACTTCCTGTTAAAAGACAATAAGTGTGAAATACGACCTAATTTCCTGCTTTCACTGATGGAAAAAACAAAGTAAGACTCTCTCTTTCCACGCCCGGGCTTCTGTGAAGTTCTCTAAGATATTGCTGCATTAAAAATGACAATGAAAAGTCAGGTTGCTAAAATGGAGAGCAGGAAGGCAAAACAAAAGTAGTCTGACTTTAGTTTGAGTCACTAAAATATTTTCATATTGTATAAAAGCTTCAGTGAGGACGAAGGTGCCAATGTGATGCAAAGACAAGGAAAGCAGGATCCAGATCAGTCTGCTGAACATGCACTAAACATTTATTGGCTTCATTTCAAGTCTTACTGTTAATCCAAGAGCTCTGGGGAAGCAGCCACAGATATATGTCTGCTTTGCTAGAATGGATCTTAACCAAAGCTTCGTTATCATCGTGCTTTACCTCCACCACTGCAGAAAACGTTTATAGGAACAGGAACATTTGCATGAGACTTGAACATATAGGATTTTTGTCGCCACAAATTAGGAAAGAGTTTTCTTCCAGTGAAAAGGGATTTTTTTTCATCTCCACCGTTGCAAGTGTTTGCTTGTTGTGAGAAGTTTTTTGTTTCTATCTAACATTGCAAGGTCTCCGCCCTTACTTTGTAAAGTGCCTTGAGATAATGCACGTGTGTTGTGATATTCCTGTTTGAGTACTGGCAATATTGTGGAAGATGTGAATGTTGGTGTATGGTAAAAACCCAAATTAGCATCTGATAAAAGGGAACTGGTGTTTCCAGCTCTTCAATGAATTAATAAATAAAGGACAGTTCCTTGTCTTTGCACAGAAAAAAACAAGGAAGTGTGACAGACACGGAGGTTTTTGGACATGAAAGGTTTTGTGTGTAAAAGTTTGCAGTTCTCATTTTGTTATACTGCTGATTGTATTAGCTTTGACCACCACTATTGTGAAGTAGTTAGTTTGTCAAAAGGATTGCTGTTGGAGATTGTGGTTCAATGTTATATTTACACTGTTTGTAAACCTTGACAAATACAAACTTTTTGGATGCCTTTACACATCTTGTGCAGTTTGTTTTCTGTCAAATATTGTATTTATTTTTATATCATTTAACCGAGTATATCAATTCATACAGGATTTTAAAGCTTATGTTAGTCTCTGTAAGCTGCAGTTGGCAACACTTTGTACTTTTATGATCTAGTTCCTGATTCGGTAGAAAGGCCAAATGATGAGGGTTAGTATGCAGCACTTTGATTTGATAGTATTTTGGCCGTTTTCTATGCAACACACAATATTATATACATTATAAGCTGGAAAAGATGCTTTGTTACCTATCTTTTGATTGTGTAATGCATAGTCTTCAGAGAAGTCAATCAAATTACCAAAGACTAATCACTAATAATACATATATAACACAGTGAGAGTTGGAGAAACATCTGTTCCTTTCCAGTGCCCCGTTATACATGAACGGTGAAAATCAATGATGATTTATTTATTTACTTTGTCATCTAATAGATTAATTGATAACCAAACACCCTATGCTAAATGTTGCCTCTGCCTAAAAATGTTAATAGCGACGAAATATTTTACAATAATATGACAAATATTGAACAGCATTAGCTTTTTTCACAGATCAGTGGAACCGTTTGGTGTCCAAGATATTCTGGGTTTAAAAAAACAACTTCTAACAGAGGGAGATTTGTGACATCATCACCAGTTCTTACATCTTAATCAACTCTTGTTGAACCCCAATCAATTCATATGAAATGAACAAGCGCTGGTAATACAGGCCACATTTGGCACCTGTGGTTGACATATTATTATGGCTTACTTTTGGGACTGATTTCTGTTCTTATTAAAAAATTTCCCAACATATTGAAACACTATAAAATACCAAATAATAACCATAGTAAATAAATAAACCTAGTGTTACTTAAAAACTGAGGTGGGAAGTAACAAAGTACACAAACCTTGTTACTGAGTATTTATCTTTCTGACAATTTTGTACTTTTACTCCCTACATTTCAACACAAATATCTGTTCTATCAACTCTTTACATTTTCAAAACAGGCTTGTTACTTTTGTTTTAATGCATTTCAGTGGAATTATCCGTTATTTGTATTATTTGGCATCATCCAGCGCAGACTTTATGTCGCCAGATTTCAGTTTAGAAGTCATAGATGGCTACTGGATGCCTTTTAAAATGCAAAAATGTTTTGCCTCATCACCATTTGGCCCTGGTTGATTATTTTTTTAATTTTTTCTGCTTAAAGAAATCAAATTCAAGAACTGACTGTTCCCTTGCCACCTTACACTTCACACCCCTAACAGATGCCATTTAATAGGCTGTGATTTTAATTAATACACTTAATGTCTCACCGAAGAAACAGGGCAGAACGTCCTTGAATTCAATGTTCAAGGTTTGGGAACCCCGATGAAACCAAGGAATAATCTGTCCATCGATGTGAAAGTGTTTCAGTTCATATATTTACTGAGAAGCTGCAAAAAGGTCATCTGAGGTTCAACATTTTATTTACCTTTATTTATCAAGCTGCCTCCCAACAGTGCAGTAACTGAACTCAGTGTTTGGTCGTATGCAAACTACAGACTACATAAACACAATGTCCATTTTATTAGGTATATATGAATGATACAATCCATCAAGCAGTTCTGTCGAAACATTTCTCTTTGTCCTCAAGTTTGAGGATTTGCTGATATGTGTGAAATGTGTGAATACAGTTTTCTGTTTAAAAGGTGTTGGGCTCAGAGTTAAAGGTGCTGTTGTATTGGAAGACATCACACTCAAGGTTCCATTCAAATTTTTACATGAGGAACAACCTCTGAATAAACAGCAGTCCAGTACACCACCATCACACTATATGAGCTCATTGATTAAACCTGTTACACAAACCAAACATTTTGGGGCATCAAACCAGTGACCATGATTTGCCAGTATCGGACTGTACAGGTGCACATTAGGAACAGCCAACCCTGGTCTTCAGAGACGGCTACTACCTTTTACATTCCATTACACACAGTTACTAACAACTTTGTGTACTGTAGTATACTGTGAAATCATTGTCATACTGGGCCACAGACTATCTGATGAATTAAAGAGCAGGAGGTTTGGTGATGGAGTTTTCTACTTGTATAATCATGACATGGAAGAAGTGATAGAGTTGTATCACAGTCAGTTGTCTTCTGGCTCTGAACTTTTCCTGTAGTTTTTACTCTTTGGTTTCCTGAAGGAGGTAAAGCCGGGCTTGGCAAATTCTGTCTTTACCCCAGTCTCCTCCTCTCCCTTTTCTTTCTGCAGCTGTTTCTTTTTCTCCTCCTCTGCTTGACCCATAAATCTAAGGGTTTTCTCCTTGTCTGTCTTTCTCACCTTAGTCTCTTCTTCATCCTGCTCTGTTCCCTTTCCTCCAGTCTTTTCTTTCTTTCTGCCCTCCAACCACCCCTCCTCCTCCTCCAGATGACTGAGATGCATCCCCCTCTTATTTGCTCTGACAGCTGACGGCTGATCCGCAGTCTGGTCCTTAGGCAGTTGGTTTGGTCTGGAGAAGATCATCCTCTCCTGGATGTTACAGGATGAATCACGCTGTCTGTCCTCCCGCAGACTAGACAGGAATTGGTGAGCGGCCTTGCTGTTATCCTGATCACTGGTCTCAGTCACGTCCTCCAGACTGTAGTGAGTCCAACGCTCAGGGTGCACCAGATAGTCTGGGCTTTCTTTCTTTGTTGGTGGTGTGGAGCTGGTGGATTGAGGTTGGCTCATCTTCAAGCTGGGACATGGAGGCTGAGGCAAAACAAACACTCCATCTGTAATGCGATCCTTGCTCAGAGAAGATGAAGTCCGCTGGACAGCATTGTCTAGGCTGTCAAAGATACTGTGGCTGCGGTTTGAGAAAGCGGAGCCCCCTCCTTTCAGACTGAATGACATCTTAGCCGCTGGAGCAGAGACGACAACCTCCCTGACATCCCCGTCGTCATAGTCATCATGGTCCAGCTCTGGGTCGAAGGGAGTTGTGTTGGGTTGTTCTTCAGGCTCAGAGTCATCGCTGTCGGACAGATCGTCCACATCACTGTGGTCATTTTTCTGATCACTCATTTTCGGAGATTCACCAGCTCAAATAAATCAACAACCTGGTAAGGGTGAGACAAGAAGAGCTCAGAACTATAGCAATGCTTGTAATGGAAAAAACACTTTGGTGCAAGATCAATATTTTAACAAAAGCAAGGGAAGTTAACTTTGAAATCATCAATAGAATATATCCTTCACGACAATTTTTAAGGTGCTGTTTTGTCATATATGATGAAAATATTTTCTTTTGCTATAAACACATGCTGAAGTCCCTTTGGGGAAGATGCACATTACTCGTTATTTCCTAAATTAAAAGATCACAAATGAGATTTTTGGTATAAAAGATTGAATATTATCATCTTTTTATGTAGTGCTATAGAATTAAAATTGAATGATGCAGCAATCGACACAATTATTATTCTTGGAAACTCCTTTTCACACGACAAATGTATTTAAACACAAACAATTTCACATGGAGCTGCGTCACTACTTCTCATCTCTAAACGTTATGGAGACAAATGCAAAATAGAGAAACTCAAACTAGTAGATAGCCCTTCTGTGTTTCTTATTCCTATTCATTTTTAAAAATCATTTATTTACTTTTTATTGTTGTATTGAATATTGTATTGTACCCTCCACCCATCATATTATATATTATAAGCATTAGTGATTTATCTATAAACGATTATGTCTACCATGCCATTTATATTTGTAAAGGATGTTCTATGTATGTATATGTTCATTGTTTCTATCAATAAAGATTGAAGAAGGGAAAAACTTTAAGTATATGACAGTGAAGACTACTTGTCATATCTCTGCCCTGACTCCATCACACTTCATATTATCATATGTAACCCTGAATCGTGCAGGATCTGTGTCTTCTGCTCTTTTCAGCTGATCGCTAATCATTGCTGTGATATCATTTTGGTTGAGGTTGACACTTCTGTCCGCCCTGGGAGAGGGATCCCTCACATGTGGCTCTCTGAGGTTTCGACTTTCTGTTTGGTTCCGTTTTTCCTCACTCTTGTTGAGGGCTAAGAACAGAGGACGTCGCACCTTGTTAAACACCCCTATGAGACTGATTGTGATTTGGAAAATAGGGGCTTTAGAAATAAAATTCGACTGATTTATGATATATACGTTTGGACAAAGACAAATCTGTAAGAAAATGGAGGTACTCGTAGATCTAAGCTGTATACAGACTGTTTCTGTATTAGCTACATTCTAAAAAATACATGCTTAACTATTTCAGTACGTGCACACTCGCAGAATCCAGTAGTGACTTTAATGTGACTACACATTCTGAACAGAAAACACCGCCATAGCTCCAAATAACACATCGCTAAGATTCGTTAGCATGCTAAGGCTAACGGATACTGCGATCCGCGACAGTTGAGGGCCGCACATTGGACTCCGTGGAACACAACTCGTGACACAAATGTTAACAGACTCTGGAGAAAATCATTTGGAGACTTCTGGCTAAATTCTCTGTGATTTACCTGCAGGAAGAACTGGCTCAAATTGCAGCTGCGGCAACTAGCACCAACGCTTTCAGTGGCAGCTGCTTCCGCTACTTGTCTGACAGGGGTTGGCTTATGGTGCAGTACCGCCACCTACTGCACCGGAGTGTGGATCAGACAACAGATTTGCTCATAGAAATAGAAATAATACCCTCTCTTGTGTGTTCCCTTTTTTATCTTATACACAACCCCTGTGACTCTTAAGAAAGTTGAAAGAACCCTGACCTGTGCTCTCTAACACATCAGAATTAATTTTAAATATAGCTCCTGCTTCCCTTACTCCCTCAAAATACTCCTCATCCTCTTCCTCTGTCACACATACCACCTTTCAACTCAAGATCACATGCTCTTTACTTACTCCTTTGTCCTGCAACTCGCACACAGGCCTGTCTGCTGTTTCCCTACTAATTTACAGGTTTTGTTTAGTGCATACTTCCCTGACCTCAACCTACAGAACACAATTTCTTCCCTCCTGTTGCCACTGCCTGTTGTTTTAACTTCACTCTTCACTGGTTAAGATGCCTTGCTTTCTCCTCTCTGTCCCACTTCTATGCATATTTGTTTGACTTTCTCCCAGATTACTCTTTTGGCCTCTGCTTTGCTGATGCAAATTTGCATTTTGATGTTATCATTATTTAACGCCTTCTTTGCCAGCTGATACATCCATTTTATTCATTTCATTAATCTATTCATTAGAAAGGAAATTATTAAAAGTAACATCACAGTTACACTTAAATGGACCTGACTCAGCTGCTCTGCAGCACCTAAAAGACAGACATCACATCCAAAATATACTGAACAAAGTCAAGATAGGGGACATCAACAGAGATGAATACAATAAACAGACATTCAGAGGGGAAAAGACTTAAGCGGTATGAAAAAGCCAGTATGAGATAAATCTGTGGTTGCATGTGTGACAGATGTTATTGTTCGAATGTGATATGGAATCTCATTCCAGGTTTTTGTAAGCAGGTACTGAAATAGATTAGAATAGAGAATAGAGAATAGAATGCCTTTAATGTCATCACACAATGAAGCATGGCGAAATTACAGCAGCTACCACTGAAAGGTGCATTTAGTGAAAAATAAATCAAATGTAAGAATAAAAATAAACATGTTTAAAAACGTTGCAAAATAATGCAAAAAGAGGTAGTTGTGGTTGGATGGTATAAAAAATATATATTTTTGAGTTCGCAAAAACATTTCACATTCGGAAAAAGGGTAGGGACCATGGGGACAACACTTCTTGTTCATGATTGGACGAACCCAAGTCTGGCGAATGATATTATACAATTTCCATCCATCCTTTTGCCGGTTTATGCAGTTAATAGCGCCACAACTCCTTGTCACTCTCTTTTGCTGCTTGACTCCGCTTGTAAACAATGAGAAATGTCCCGCTTTCTCCCCCCTGGCTGTGCGCGCATATCTGCGATGACATTCCACAGAAACCAGAAACAGGAAATGAGATGTTACCAGACTTGGGTTCGTCCGATCACAATCAAGCATTGTCCCCATGGTCCCTACCCTTTCCGTAATCTGAAATGTTTTTTTATTTCCTCAAATGTTGTTTTTGTGTTTTGTGTTTTGTGAAATGTTGCATTTTGTGAAATGTTGTTGCATTTTGTGAAATGTTTGTTGTGTTTTCTCAAATGTTTTTGCGTTTTGTGAAATGTTGTTGCGTTTTGTGAAATTTTTCTTGCGTTTTGACCCTCAGGGCCACTGTATTGAAATGTTTATTTAGAAAAAACAATCAAATGAATGCTGTCAAACATCAAATAATGTGTTTTTGTAGTGTTTTTATTGTAATACAGGTCAAAGATCCTTTATTAATCACTGTTCTCGGTTTCAATTTTAAATGTAACATACCTTCCCAACTTTTTCTGATTTGGGGTTGTAGATTCAAATCAATTAATTGCACCAAATCACAATACACATTATCTCAAGGCACTTAGGGTTGAGACCTTACAAAATAATAGAACTACTGTTGAGGCATGACCATCCTCACACATTACTGTATCAGTGCATTTTAGTTTCTATCAATTTCATATCTGACTCAGATGCCCCAGACAAAGAGGCACCAACTTCAGCTCTGTTCTAAATTAGTGGTAAGACGTAAGGACACAATGTGATTTAGGAATGCACACTTTAGGCTCAATAGGATGTGAACTCGCCATTCGTGGATGTGCAGTTAGAGTGGATGATGCTGTTGTGGTTAAAAGTCCCGAAATTATGAAATGTCAACATTTCTAAAAATACTATAGAAGAAGGAAGTGAGAAAATCTTGCACAACACTGAATGGAAAATGACTTTTGAGCTTGAGACAGCAGATTCTAAGGAGGCTGCAACAATTCAAATCAAATAACAGTTTCTTGTAACATCTTTATTTGATTAAAATCTTTATATATATCATCAAACATAACAGTTGCATTGAGAGGAGAAAAACACATTATAAGAAGATTAATTAAAGTATTCAATCCAGTTGAGTTGTGCTGTAGTTCCAAACTATTAGCAGAACTATTTGAGTTAATTTTAGTACCGCAGCAGTGCTGTTTTTTTTACTGTGGCTGTGATCGTCAACACCAAAATGTCCTTTCTACTGGCATGAAATGACATTAAATATAGTTGAGCTTTATCCAAAACCATACAATGGTGCTGTATTTTGTGTTTTAACATTTTAAGGAGTTGTTCTAATTGCTCTCTACTAAATTCGATATTTTTTTTCTTTGAACAAAAGTCAGAGGGGACTTGTTGTTTTGTGCTCAGTGGCATTCCTACTTACCATTGGGTTACTGGGTCACTCATCCATGTGTGAACCATTCTCACCATAAATGTATCTTTGAGATCAGCTCTGTAGAATCATTGGAGTAAGAATAAGAATCGTATTGAAAATAAGAAAGTAAGTATATTGTTTCTTTGACACATGGATTGACGTCTGTAACTCTATTTGAGGTCGCTTGACGTGCAGATATTCCTGGAAGATTGTTATTTACTGTAACCACAAACACACCCACCCCCACACACACACACACACACACAGACGTAAAGGTCAGGGGAGCTCAGTACAGAGTGACTAATGTACTGACTGATGCAAAGAGGAGCACCCACACCAAAGAATAGACCCATTCCCAAGAGAAAGACAGTATGTAATTTGAACACAAATGAGCTCACAAGGAAATGTTATAAAATTGCAACATGCAGCCGGGAGATTTAGATATGAAAACATCCTTTAGAGTTCAAGAAAAATCATTATTTAGAAAAGTTATAGCACTAATCAGTGTATTTATGTCAAAAAAGGTTCAAATGATGATATGTAATGTGAAAGGGCTCATTCCTGTGATGAATCCACCAAGCATTATCATCAAGTCTACAGCTCCTCTAATCTGCTCATCGTGTATCACACCCAAATTGACAAAGTCAGCAGCAAGTAGTAGTTTTCGAGTGGTGGAGGAAGTATTCAGTAAGTAAAGTACCAATACTGCTTTGTCCTGTGCATCTGAAAATGTTACTTGAAAAAGTGTATATACATGTAGTTGTGAAAAGGTGCTTGAAGCATTATGCTATGTGTCAACAGAGTGTATTTAAATTTGATTATTATCAATAGTCTGTTCTGATATAAAAGCAGGACTTTCTGGTATAGTTGGTTGTGGTTGAACTATTTAAAAGATTATTGCCATTAAGATGCAGCAGATTATTTTCTTCCTTAATGGAGAGATTGATTTGTTTGAATATGAGAAAAGCCACCCTAACTTTACCCAGAACCCTTAGTGGCACCTTCACACTGATCATTCTGTCAAGTCAACAGAGGTTATAGATTCTTGGACCTACATAATGCTGATGTATGTTTTGAATGAATGAAGCGCAGCATTAATTAAAGACAGTGGAATGGTCAGGAGGTGTTTGGTGTTTTTAGCGTATAAAGGTCATTAAAAAGGAGAGAAGGCGTTGTCTCCAGGGAATTTTACTGGTTTAGAGTGGCAAGGTATAGTGTTGGTGTTCCCATTAAAGAACACGGATACAGATGTCCTGTTTCAGGTTCATTTACTTGACTGTGGTCTGCAATAGCAATACAGAGTATCCATCAGTTATAACAAACACCATACTTTATATACAAAACATAAAGAAATAACTAAAGTTACAAAGGACTGTATTCAGTAATCAAATATATCATATAAATCATATAACATAAACTAATCACCTCACGGGAGGCGCACAGACAGCACGACTTATTAGCTTTAGCCTATTAGCTTTAACAACACACCAGCACAAGATAGACTTAGACAGTATAACACTCACCTTCTGGCATTTACGCACAGCAATAAACCAGAAATGCATGGAGTACTAAAAGTGCCAAAATGAAATAAATAAATACACCATTAAATAATTACTTAAATGTGTCATTAAATGATTAAAATACCAATTATTTCACTATTTACATTTGCATTTCACTTTTCACATTGACATTTCACTATTTACATTTAGGTTTCATGATATACATTTACATTTCACTATTTACATTTCATGATTTACATTTACATTTCATTTACATGGACCGGTTCAGACACACGGACTGGCATGCTTTTGCGCCTAACACCCCGGCAACCTGTCACTCCAGCGCAGACATCGAAAGCTACGCCTCCTCCGTACTAGACCACAACACCACTACCATAGACAGTGTCACCACCCGGAAACGTATCACCATGTACCCAAATCAGAAGCCCTGGATGAACAGGGATGTACGTCTCCTGCTTAAGGCCCGCAACATCGCCTTCAGATCAGGAGACCCAGCAGCCTACAGCACAGCCAGGGCTGACCTGACTGAGTAATGTTAATTCCCACCACCTGCACTCCTGAATTATTTCACTGAATATTGTGAATTCATATCACCTGCACTACTGTTTATACTGTACATACACTGTATATAACCTGTATATTGTGTCAATAGCAATATCTGGTAGAATCATATCACTAATACTGTATATATACYTACCTACTGTAATATATTTATACACTGTTWAGCATWTACATATACTTTAGCATACTGTAACATATATTTATTCACTGTTTAGCATATGCACATACTTAAGCATACTGTACCATATATTTATTCACTGTTTAAGCACTTCTGGCTGGATGCAAACTGCATTTCGTTGCTTTGTACTTGTGCAATGACAATAAAGTTGAATCTAATCTAATCTAATCTACTTCTTCTAAATTTGCAGTCACTCTATGGTCAATATCTTGTTTGGAAAGTGCGGAAATAACTCCAAGAACTTCARTAAGTTCCTCTGCTTTACTCGCTATATGCTCTGGGTCAGCAGGTCCTGCTTCCGCATCCTCTGCTAAGTCTAAAACGTCTCTCACCAACTCCCTAGAAAGTTCCTGAAGATCTTTCATTTTCACTATCCTGGTGCTCTACTTCAGACCAAAGCAATGGATCAGACTAGATTAGCGTTAGCCCCACCCACTGACTTTGATGGGCGAGTTTGACAGTTTGACAATTCATGAAGCACTGCACACAGGACCATGAAATGTAAATGTGAATCATGAAATGTAAATGTAAATAGTGAAATGTAAATGTAAATCATGAAATGTTAATGTTTATCATGAAATGTTAATGTACCACTGCTCAAAAAAATTAAAGGAACACTTTTTTATCAGGGTATGGCATGAATTCAATTGCACTTTTTTGATAATTATCTGGTCAGTTAAGTAGCAGAGGGGGTGGTTAATCAGTTTCAGCTGCATTGGTGTTGATGGAATTAACAACAGGTGCACTAGAGGGGCAAAAATGAGACAACCCCCAAAATAGGAGTGGTTTTGCATGTGGAGGCCATTTCAAGTTTCTCCCTCTTGATCACTTCCACTGGTTTTCCATTAGTGTTGGCTTTAGCTAGAGTCATTATCTCTACTGGGAGCATGATGCGATTTCTTAACCCTACAGAAGTTGCACAGATTGTCCAACTCCTCCAGGATGGCACATCCATGCGTGCCGTTGCAAGGAGATTTAATGTGTCTCCCAGCATAATCTCCAGAGCATGGAGGAGATTCCAGGAGACGGGCAGTTACTCTAGGAGAGCTGGACAGGGCCGTAGAAGCTCCTCAACCCATCAGCAGGACCGATATCTGCTGCTTTGTGCAAGGAGGAACAGGTTGAGCACTGTAATGTTATGGTGCGTTCAAGAGCTTGGGACATAGGAAAACTCACAGAGAAACAAGCTATTACTGCACAGAACTTAGTTCAATAAACAATTTAACAATACATTAACAGTGCTGGCTTTCGAACAGTCATGAATGTCAAACCAGAGACAGGTTCTCATTGCATTCTATGAGATAGGGTCCCTGTTTTACTGCATTCTTGAAAAGTGCAGTAGCGACACAGGAACTGGAGCTTTCATAGGGAAGGGAGGGTCATCTCAGCTGTTGATTACAACATTTTTGTGATGAGTAGATGTAAACAGAGACGACACTCAGAGCTGACAGGTCGGGCAGTGGATTGTAATACAACATTTGAACATGACCGTGTGCAACTGTAGAATGTGGCCTGTGACTGTCTTCATATTGTGGACCTGGATGCTGGATGCTGGCTGTGAAACACAAAATCAAGCAGAGGAGGGTGAGGATTCAGTTGCTTTACACTCAGCATGGGAAAAAAAGTTTTTTTATTGTAATTAATCAAAGTTCAAGATGTTATGTAGAAAAAAGGATGTGTAGAAAATGTAATGGTATCATAAACTCTGAAGTGTGTCAGAAAAGCATATGGTGATTTCCAGTTTAATAAATTCACTACAAGAGATATAAGGTATTATGTATGATATACATGTATATCTATGCAATTGTAGTAATTTCCCCTTAGATAGGGTTTATTTGGAAAAGCAAATCTATTGCTCAGTGAAATGTCAGGATTACTTCCTGATAAAAGTAATTTTTGAGGTTTACAGTGGTACAGTCCAAATATGCTATTGAATATTTAGAGTGTGATTTCATTTTGTGCAAACGGCAGTGTTCAAATGCAGACCCTCAAAATAATAAAATGTGTTTGTGGATGTCAATAACATTTATGTATGAAAACGTATAAAACAAAAGACCTGAATTCAACATTGTTCAAAGTTGCTTTAGTATTACCAGTAAAATGTTCTCATAACAGATTAAAACAACGCTAGGTCACTACTATTGATAACTGGGACAAATGAAGTTTCTTTGCATGTTTTAGCTCCTATTATTTTAATCAATCAAATATTTCTAATAAATCTTAATTAAAATTGATCCCTCACAGCTTTTACAGAGCTTGTACATTTTCAGTTTTCGTTATCACTGTTGATAATTGTGTTATGTTAATGTTCTTCTTAAGAAAGAGGAAATAGCTTCAGACACCACCCTGATGAAGACAAGATAGATGAAAACACGACTGTAAAAATGTGTAACAGAAACACCTTAGAATGCTCTGCAAAGACCAAACTTACTGCCTGAGACCTCTCTTTTGACAAAAAGTTAAGGAGCATCTCAATGATCAGTTTTTGCTCTCCAGGACCGATCCCAGATCATCCATGCTTTTATTTCATCTCAACTGGATTACTGCAATTCATTGTATTCAGGGTTGAGCCTACTTTTCACTGGTTACATGTCAGTTTTGAAACAAAAAGATTTTCCTGATTACCTATGAAGACCTCTATGGTTCAGCCCAGGAAAGTCTGAAAGTGCAAAAATCTCTGTTGTAGACAGGACAATAATATTCAGCAGAATAACAGTGTTGACTTTCTCCCTTCTTTTCTGCTCAGTGGAGATTTTCAATTCTGACAAAGAGGCCACACTGAGCTGGAAATCTGAACCACCCTCACAAGTAAGTTTGACTAAGTGAGACATCTTTATGTGGCTTGTTTCATGTACAGGAAAAATACAATCTAACTTGTGACAGAATTATACATTTTAATTGAACTTTTTGGGTTTTCATTGTTTTCAATTAACAAACTGGTGATTTTGAATTTTTTCACATATTATCTTTGCCTTTGTTCACATAACTCACCTATTTAACAGTGTTGTCTTTGAAAAAGTGACAGTACAAGTTCAGTACCAGATGATTTTCATAATTACTAATTTAGCATAAAAACCAGAGAACATCATAAATAAAAGAACCAACAAGATTTTCTCATGGCCTGAAGTGATTCAATATCCAGAATTGGATATTCTAAAAGTCTAGTCTAGTCTAACTGCTGCAATTTCAGTATTTGAAGTCCATAATTTAATAAGGGTGATTTCTTTCAATAATAATAACAGTTTTTTATTATTATTATTATAAAATCATTGAAACTGACTGATTAAAATTGCTCAATCATCTGTTAACATTATAATCTATGCATAAATATTTCATTGTATTTTAAATATTCCAGAGGTATTTTAGGTTTAATCTCATAAATGTTGCTTTTTATATGCTTCTGTAAGTTTAGAATGTGGCGGTTACAAATTTTCTTCCTTGTCACTACAGTGGAGTGTAATTCATCTTGGTACACAGAGTCGAGTGCCTGTGCTCCAAGCTTGTGGAAGAAGAATTACAAGAACTATTTTAAGCCACTGGATGGAGCGCCAAGAAGCTCACTATCTAATGATGGATATTAAATTAGCTCAAGAAGAGGAGCCACCTGGCCAGCTTGGCCCACTGAGAGTTCATCTTTTTGATACAGACACACCCATCAAAAAGTTTTGGGATAGCTCTATTGTCCTGGAAATCCAGGCCCCTAAGCTTTTCCCTACAATCCAATCGATATCCAGCTACCTGGATCACAGCATGACCCTGGACCTGGGCTCAGTCAGCCACAGAGGCTTCCAGCTCGCCTTCTCCTACTCTGGGACATGCGTGCTTTTAACGTCAATAAAACTCTACTACAAGAGGTGCTCGGACACAGTGGGCAACCTGGCATTGTTCGGCAGAACAGGGGCCGGGTCTGGGCCACTGACAGGTTCTTGTGTGAAGGGAGCAGTGGAGGTTTCTCCACCAGTTAGAGAGTGTAATTTAAATGGAGTGTGGGGGCCACTGCAGGGGGGATGTACCTGTGAACCTGGGTATCAAGTCATGGACGACACCTGTCAAGGTATGGAGATTGACTTTTTAATTTCACATTTCATGTTTATGTCACACTTGTATTGAATAAAGGGTTAGGGTTAGGATTACATATAGGCCTACATATTAAATGAATGTTTGCATATTACACACATACTCATAGAGTATGTGCATCTAATGTAAAACTGATTTCTGATTTATTTAGAGATTTTTAAAAAAAGATGTGTGAGATTGAAGTTGCAATACCACCATTGGAAAAGTCAGAATTCAGAGTTTAAAGTTGTAACATTTTACTGTAGAATACAAAAAGAATAACAAAGCAAATTCAGTTTCCTTTCATGAAAAACATTGATTATAAAATTTGCATTGCAGATAAACCAGGTAGGATGAACTCAAAGTTTTCTAACTTTACTCTGCACCATAGACTGTATCTAAAAAGCTCCCTGAACACAATTAAGTGGTGACAGTATATTGTAAACTGCTTGACAAGGCCTCACTAATGAAGTATAATAATTCTGAAGTAGCTCTGCTGCATTACCACAGGCCAAGTAAACAGCCCATTTGAAACAGTCTGTCTGTGGAACGCATATTTCGCAAAATGTTCATCTTATTGACTTCACACTTGGCATGTGAATTACAAATTGCAGTGCTAAGTTTGGTCCAGGTTCAGGAGACCCATATGTCTCATGCAAAAGCATTTTGCTGATGCTCAATGCATCAAGTAGAGCAGCACAAGCAACTCACATTTATGCTAAAGCAAGAGATGAGTGTGATATGTTGACCCAATTTTTACTTTAGATTCAGATATTTCCATTTTTTTTAACCCTGTGTAAATTGTGAGACACTTTAGGACTCATTATTTCACATGTCTGTCAAACAAGGCCTGACTTCTGATGTTAAAAGTTAAAAGTTAAGAAATAACAAAACTGAAGTGAGCTATCGTGGAATGTTTTTTCCCCCATGTGTCAAGAGATGAGGTAACAACTACTTTACCAAAGAAATTCACAGCTGACATCTTGACCAACATAATCTTGACTCTTGTAACCACAGCTCACTACTTTCACATCCTCTCTCCCATGATCCTCTTCTATCCCTATTTCTGACATGTTTCCTGTTTATTGCATATTTGTAGCTAAAACAATATGTTAGAGGACCCTGGGCCAAACCTTAGTGGTCCCTGTTAATTGAAATATTAGACTATAGGTTTTTGGAGATCTATCAGTATAAATACTGAATACATCAGCCAAAATCAGTAATCACCAATATATTAGTCTTACTGGATCCCAGTTAAACAGAGAAAACTAGAGAACCTTTAGTAAATAATCATCTCATTTGGACCATGAACATCTCTGGACAAATGGATCAGCTTTATCGAACCATGTCACTATTGCAACACACTCAAAAACAATTTTTTTTTGAAAGAGATGAATGACTGTTCCTATTCCACCAGCATGTAGGATAGGCTACTACAAACCAACCAATGACAGTGCAGAATGCCAGCTGTGCCCCGCTCATTCCAGGACACATAGGGAGGGATCGGAGAGATGTGACTGTCTGCAGGGTTTCAGCCGCCTACCAACAGACCCCTTGGACTTCAACTGCACCAGTAAGACACCGGGCAGGTTTACTGGGATTTAACAGGTGTCTTCTAACAGTAAATGTAGTTACTGGATTACACATTACAGTCCCTACGTGAATATTTAAATGGCCAGCTTTGGCACCCTCAGCTGGTCACAAAATGCTTTTCTCACTCATCTGATTTTTGTTACATTATTGTTCTGCAATCAAGCTCATTTGAAAATTCTACAAATCCTTAAAATTTCAAAAAGGGAATACATTATGAAGGAAAAGATAATGGAGAATTTTGTTTTGCCATTATTTCTCATATCACAGATAATATTAAGATTGTATGTGTATTTGTTATAAAAAAAACAACTCAATACAAATCATATTGTCTTCTTGTGTACCTATGCAATTGCACATCTGAGTGGATTTTGATAGTAAGCATGTTTTGCTTGTCTGTTGTGTCACAGAGCCGCCCTCTGCTCCAGTGCATCTAAAAGCCCATCATCAAAATGACTCAGTGCTGACAGTGACGTGGGATCCTCCTCTTGACAGGGGAGGCAGACAGAAAGTGACATATGACGTCAGGTGTGAGAAGGAAGCAGAGGCTGGTGGTCGGTGGGAGTCATGTGGGGATCATGTGATTTTCCTGCCAGACTCATCAGGGCTTAACGGCACATCGGTCAGCATCACAGGACTGGACCCACAGTGTGACTACAGACTGACAGTGCAAGCCTTGAATGATATATCCATCCAACAGGGGACACGGCATGCATCCACTGCCACTGTCACCATTCATAGATGTATGTAAGCCTGACTATGGATACAGTCTTTCTTGCTCTAAGATGACCAGTAGGTTATCTACTGGCTAATATCAGCTAATATCAGCTAATATCAGCAAACAGATATTGTTGTGTAAGTGGCCTGTCTTCAGTTCTTCTCTTCTTGGGCTACTTGGCTACTTGGTCTCCGCCAACAACAAAGAGGAATATTGGGCTCATTGTTAAGTGTTCCTCAGACCTGGTATTAACATCCATCCTGAATGATCTGATCACAATTAGACTACTCTCAGTTTAGGAGTGAAAACACTCACTCCACATTGAGGCCCGAAACCCTGTGTAGGTGGTCTGGGACACATGTGGCCACATTCTTTCAGCAGTGTGAACATGAATGTGCTGGGCTGCATTAAAGGATCACCTACTCAGCTGTCATCGTGTGACCTGTACAATTTCACTATAAAACAAAAGTAATTTACACCTTTTTGTGATACACATATGTTAATTTTTGACCAAAATGTGAACACTGATCACCACCTCAGTAAATTCAGATGTTTAAACCCTTACTCAGTGCTCCTTCCTGCTCACTTCTCTAGCACACACACACACACACACACACACACACACATTGACAACAGACACATTTAGTTTTTGCACAGAAATATAGTACATGGCCATTTGCATATAGAACAGATTAGTGATCTGCCAGATTGTTGTGATCTGATGAAGTTACAGCTGTCCACTTGTGATCTGATCATCAGAGACAGATGTTTTTGCAGGTCTGAGCAGGGCTTGTAGTGAAGTTGGCAGTGGGTTAATTGGAGATCAAAGTTCTGCTTAAGGGCATTGCAGTCTTGTCGAAACATTGTTGCTGTAAAATCAGAGCTGCATTAACATGTTGGGAGCTTCACTCCCTTAACAAACCCAATAAGTGCATCTGTAAAGGTAATTGAATTCCTTCTGAGCCATGCAAAACACTGTTTCTTTCAGGGAAAGTTCCTTCTGTCGTGATCACTGTGAGCCCAGGCGTAAACATCACAGAACTTGAAATGACAGTAGATCCTCTGGGCCAGAGACACTTCCCAAAGTGGCCGATTGTTGGTGCTCTGCTTGGTAGCCTACTGTTCATGGCTGTAATCCCCATAGCTGTATGCACCCTGTACCGAAACTACACTAAACTCAGGTAAAAGCATCTTTTGTCTTAACTGACTTTTAAATTGGATTTTCTGCTGAGATCCTATACTATACTCCTACTGCTACTACTACTACAGCTATCACTTTTACTGCTAATTCTAATCATATAAATAATTGTAATAATAATAATGATAGCTTAATTTGTAAAGCTGATTTGTTAAAATTATTTAACAAAACATACTGTATGAGGATAATTTCATTATGTACTAAAATAGAAACAGATGAGGTTCATAAAATATGAACCATTTGTCTCTGGAAAGTGATTATTTATAATTCAATTTGAATTAACCAAATAATTGCTCTACAATCACTTCAGATTCCAATTCTGTTTTTACCCGTTAACCCGTTTTTTGGCAGCAAATGGGTCCCGGACATTTTTGTGGGATTTTTTCACTCTGATCTGATTTTAAACAGTCATCACAGTAATGGCAAATACAGCTCATACAGCGTATTCCTGTGTGAGCAAAAAATGCAGACAGGGTTAGGTTGACTGGTGAGTCTAAATTGACTGTACGTGTGATTGTGAGTGTGAAAGATTATTGATTTTTGTTGTCTCTTCAGCCTCTTACCCTAATGTCAGCTGGGATTAGCTCCAGCTCCCGTCATGACTCAAGGGTAAACAATGTAGATGATGCATGGATAAATAGAAACAGAAAATTCTGTCTTTGGCAATGATTTAATTATTTCCAGTAACAAGCGTGTTGGTATACTTGTATACCAACACAATTTCAACACAAAATAATTTCAGTTGGACATCAGATTAAACTAATTTTGCAACAAAGAACAAAATTAAATTTATAATCATAATTTTTTTTACCTTTTATTTCATTCAATGACACTTTGATTTTTAACGATGTGAAAATTATAATTGTCCCACAGAGAGGAGCAAGAAATTGAGCTTTTGCCAGTGAATCCTGGAATTTCCTACCAACCTCCACAGGTGGTGGAGCCTACAACCCAGCAGGCCAACAGTAAGTATCTGATAATAGATTAATACATTTTTCATTTAATCATTATTGACCCTGAAGAATAAGAATGTCTTATTGACTATTACCACCAAATAAGTCCCATAGATGCTATACTTGCAGAGTAAACTTGAACCATTTTGAAATAACTGTGTGAAGACTGCAACAGACTTCGGGTGATGAGTAGATGAATCACAGGTGAGCAGAGGAATTGGGCGGAGGAGGAAGCTGGATTATATAACTATGACAAAATAAATTCGTCATGTTGCTTCATGTTAAGAGGACAAATTGCCTCCGATGAAATGTTACAAATGAAGTGTCAAAAGAGAGACGTTATGCCTTATTTTATTACACCTGAAAAGGGAATCCTTTGATTTTCTTTTGTGTTCCAGGGGAGGAAGGGGTGGTCCAGATGTTGGAAGGGTTCAGTGGAAGCCTGCTAGCCAGTCTGAAGGAGGTCCTGGTGGAGAGAAACAAGCTGACCCTGGGGAAGGAACTTGGCAAAGGTCAATAGGATTCCTCATCAAAAATACTGGCAGACCCACGGTGCAGGGCTTTGGCTGCAAACTTTTACTATGATAGAATACCAAAGATCATTGACACCTGTCTCTTCTGTTTATACATTGACATGAACTCCTACAGTTTGACAAAGCAAACCAGTACACTGGGGGATTATTGTCAAGCAAACACAAGAGAAGCACCCAGATCCAACTGCCAAACACAGCTTATTCATTTCAATGATTTCATGTAAAAAGGGGCAAGGCTTATGGAAGGTTGAGGCAGTTAAAAGTCAAAAACCAGCCGGAGCAGACCAAATGGAAAAACAATTGAGGTTGAGGGGATGAGAGATGTCAAACTGGTTGTGTTGCCAAACCAAAGAGAAATAGTCCTTATCTGATGAGGTCAGTCAGAAAAGATCATTTATAATCATGGAAAACAGTGTGTGGATCGTTTTCATAGTAAAATATGCTTAATTCTTATTTCTTCGTGTTGTTCTTAGCGGCACTGAATTAGAGCCAAAGCATCAACACTGCCAGGAACTCTGACTGAAAACTGCACACTCTGAGGAATCTATAACTGTGATGTATTTATTGAGATGAACTCTCCCAGTCTTTCAACGAGAGTAAACATATGAAAACTCAGGAACAGCAAAATGATTCCATCCATCTACAAAATATCTGCTGCGCTTAGTTATTTACTCAAATCTCCTTTGTCCCTGTCAGGATCCTGTGGAATCCCAGTCATCTGATTGATCAATAGTTGGGCTGTTGACAGGTTTAGAAGGGAAAACAGACGAAAAGCTTCCAGCTCTAACATATACAGAAAAGGGGTAACCCAAGGCTGTAAAACAGTGGATTAAAGGTGGAGTTAGTAATTCTGGAGAATGTCTGTTTGATAAACAAATACACCCCTCACTGGTCCTAAAGAACCTCCATCCTCCACTTTCCTGCACGACATTAGCATTAACTGTAGACAAAATACATGGATATACTCCATCTTGTCCGAAAATGATTAACTGTAGACAAAATACACTGTCTGTATTTACTCAAACTACACGTTCAACAAGAATCAGCTGTGTGTGTGTGTGTTTGTCTGCCCAAGAAGAAGTCTAGGACAGTCAGACAATAATGTATTGCTACCTGTGTACTGCAGGTGTTAGTGACTTTTTTGGGTGAACTATCCCTTTAACATCTTCTCACTTTCATTATTTCGCTATCTGGCTTGGGTTAGCCGCAGTCTGTGGTGTGCCAGCACTTTTCATTTTGAGCGCTACTGTAAAAATAGCATTTCCAGTGGCTAATAGTTGTTCTGAAGCATTAGTAGCAATGCAAGTTACCTGGGGCCTCTTTTTCAAGTCCTGGTCCCATCCCTCATTAGTAGAAGGCAGTTGAATGATTACATTATCTTGTTTGAGTTGTAACAGGCGATGTGAACACGTTTTATTAAAAATCGCTCTTAGAATGAGGATTAGTGTACGGTAAGGATATACTGTTTATGACCATTCAGAGACCTCTGTCTCGCTTCCACTGCCCCTTTGACCTTTATATCCTTTGCAAGAATACCTTGTTGCTGATTGGCTGGAACAGTGTTGTGTTGTTGGTTGTAGTCCAGCTCTCTTTCTTTCCCAAACACAGAGCCAGGGCTGTGTATTTAAACCAGACCTCCTGTAAAGCTCAAGTGTTTCAAATCAATATGGCTTACCCTACCTTTAATAAACTAATTAGCCATAGTTGAAACTGACAAGAAACCCCCAAAGGGAGTCAAATGACTACACTTAAGACACAGAGGAGCAGTCATTTATAGAACTGCAAAAACTGCAAAAAATAAAGAGAAATAGAACAGGAAACACAGTCCAAACAGGCAAGAAGGGGCAGATCATAACAAATGTATTCCTATTAAATGATTTTGCACTGCATGATTTATGTTCAGTAACAACATTAAGTGTGCCCTTCTTTCACAAAGCAAACGTTGGGGGGGTGAAGGTTTGGATGGTGGGTGAGCATTGAATGCATCCTCCCTTCATACACAGCACATCATTTCCAGTCCAATCTAAACTGCAACCACAATGTTAACCTAAACCTAAGCGAGTTTGTGTTGGCTACACCTAACCATGGTTTGCTTGCAGAAACTGTAAACGTGCCTCCCAAATTTCAAGCATTCAGGCCAAATTCTAATCAGGAGGCTTTGAATTTAAAAGTGTAAGGAGATGCAATCAAGCCACTTTGCCAAACCCATTCATGTGCATAACCACTACAATAACACCTAACTACAATTCTACTATCAGAATGGGAACCCTTAAAATAATGTAGCGAACCATTTTTCATGCAGCCTTAGTTTAGCTACTATAATCAACTTTTTTAAGCAGGACATGATTAAGAGGTCCCAGTGAGTGATAACACTGAGCTTTCTTTCCTTTTCTTCCAGGC